CTTGATGGATAGGTTTACAGCCTCAGAATTGCACGGTGAGCTTTTGCAGCCCGGAGCACCCTACTGACTTGGCGAGCCTTTGCAGCCCAGAGTCTTTTTCATTGCACGGTGAGCTTCTGCAGCCCGGAGCACCCCTTCGACCTGGCAAGCTTTCGCAGCCCAGAGTCTTCTTCCTTGCACGGTGAACTTTTGCAGCCCGGAGTTTCCTTTATTTCTCTTGTAAACATCAGGTAAGTATTTTTTACCCTCTTTTAAAAAAAAATAAAAAAAAATAAAAAAAGAAAAATGGGGCCTTCATAGGTATGTCCCTGAGCCATGCTCCTTATGTCAAATCCTTTGAGAGAAACTTAGGCACCTCAAGTCCTTCGTGAGAAACTTAGGCACAATCTATCAAATTCTCGGGTGAAGAACCCCGAGTGCTCATTCACTGAATCTTTTCAAGCCTCGCTGGCAAAGAGCCTCTGAGCAATCTGATCCAACCTACAGGTATGTAAACCCAGGTACGCTTCCAAGGTTTGTGGTCCAACCTTAAACCACGCATCAAAGGTTTGTGGTCCAACCTTAAACCACGTTTTTCAAAGGTTTGTGGTCCAACCTTAAACCACGTTTTTCCAAAAGGTTTGTGGTCCAACCTTAAACCACGCTTCCAAGGTTTGTGGTCCAACCTTAAACCACGCATCAAAGGTTTGTGGTCCAACCTTAAACCACGTTTTTCAAAGGTTTGTGGTCCAACCTTAAATCACGTTTTTCCAAAAGGTTTGTAATCACGCTTCAAAGGTTTGTGGTCCAACCTTAAACCACGCATCAAAGGTTTATGGTCCAACCTTAAACCACGTTTCCAAAGGTTTGTGGTCCAACCTTAAACCACGCTTTCCAAGAGGTTTGTGGTCCAACCTTAAACCACGTTTCCAAAGGTTTGTGGTCCAACCTTAAACCACGTTTTTCCAAAAGGTTTGTGGTCCAACCTTAAACCACGCTTCAAAGGTTTGTGGTCCAACCTTAAACCACGCATCAAAGGTTTGTGGTCCAACCTTAAACCACGCTTCCAAAGGTTTGTGGTCCAACCTTAAACCACATTTTCTTTAAACTATGCTTTTCGTTTATTTAGATTTTATTTTATTTTCTCTCTCCTCTTTCTTGCATTGCATCATCCCGTTCCCTCCGTCAACAAAATTTAGGCGTCTCTTATATTTGAAAGGAACCTCTTCGAGCTCCCCTTCAAAGAGGGGCAGCTGTTGACACCTAAATTTTGCCCAAATCATTTAGGGTTTTATCGCATAAAAATTAGGGTTTAATCTTTTAACCCCTTAACAAAAATATTTTCATTAAATTGCATGCCATATAGACATTAGGTGCATTTGCATTAACATGATCGATTAGGACATATTTTACTTAAATTTCAAAAAAAAAAAAAAAAAAAGGGTTTCCGAGCCAAGTTAGTCGATCCATCCTCTCGTGTGGCCCATCTAGCTCTTCCTTCTTTTTATTTTTCGCGTGGGCCGGCCCGCGCACTGTTCAAACCTCCCCCCAGTCAACATTTCTGAGCGTACGGGGGGGAGAAGACGGGGAACAGTGGCAAAATGCCACAGCCACAGCATCAACAGAGAGGCAGGAGCAGAGGCAGAGCAGGGGCGCGGGGGAGTAGGCGATCACCCAGCGTGATCCGCGGGTCGGGGCCAGGCCGGCAGCGCGGGCTAGCGGTGGCAGGGGCCATGCGCGCCTGCCGGCCGACCTTAAAGCCGAGAGGGAGATCGCAAGAGGGAGGGGGGAGAACGGACAGACCCGAGAGAGAGAGACCCGAGAGAGGCAGTTCCGAAGAGAGAGCGAGAGGCCGAGGCGGAGGGGTCCTTCGCCGGCGACCGCCGTGCCCAAGCCGTGGCCGAAGATCCTCTGTCACGGTAGGTCCGGATCCGGGCACTCGCCGGATTTTACTTTGGTTTGGTCTGACCCGGGGCCGATTTCCCGAGGACTTCGGCTCGGAGGCGTGCGAGGCGACCGGACGTAGTCCGATCTGTCGAGTTCGCCGCTGTTCGCCGCCGCCGAGCCGGATAGGGAGTGCCACAGCCCCCCTCCCCTGTTTTTCTTTCTTCCCCTGTTTCTGCCGTTTGGTCTTGTCTTGGGCTCACTGGCCGGAGCTCGCGGCCGTCCGGCTTGCGCGAGTTCCGGCCAGTGACACCTCGGGCTCGGTCCTACTGCTCCGCGTGTTGTTGTGTGTGATTTTCCGGCGAGTTTGAGCCTCGATCGTGCCAGAAATCCATCGTTTTTTGCCGCGCGTTCCAACTGTTTGTTGTTGTGTCTGAACCGAGCTCCTTGAATTTGTCTATGTGCTGATGAGTTTTCTGTGCTGGAACACCTGGTGGTCTCGGTTGGACGCCGGTTGCCACGAGCGTGACCGCGGGAGGAGGCGACCGGCAGTCCCTCGCCGGGACTTGGCTGATTCGCGGCTGTCCAGCCCTTCGTCAGGGCTTGGATGGCCTCGGTCGATCACCGGTCACCACGGCGATGACCCGGGTGGAAAACGCTCGCCGCCCCGAGGGGCGGCGATGCGGACCTAGGCGGGGCGCCGGCCGCGGAGGCCGGAGCTAGTAGGATCGGCGGCTCGCCGTCGGGTGGCGACCGCGAACCAGGTTGGGCGACTCAGGGTGGCGGCCGGGAGTCGGGTCGGCGACCGGTGGTCGGCTCGGGCGCACGGGCTGTAGTCGGGTAGGGTTTTTGGTAATCCGGGGCGGCGGCCGCATTTTCCGGGTCGGGTGTGGGTCGCGAACCGGGTAGGGTTTGACTCTAGGGTTTTATTTAGAGGGGCTGAAATAGGTAGTGGGCTGGAGTGTTTAGGGTTTTGGTGTTTTAATTGTTTGATTGGACTTTAATTTGTTTTAAATTTTTTTTTTTTTTCGGGCTGGGCCCTCTTTCTTAAAAAAAATTTCGCCACACCGGGCTCAACAAATGAGCCCGGTTTGGTCGTGGACCCGGGCCGGCGCGCCCGGGTCAGTCTCGATCCGGGTCAGATGTGGAGATCCGACCCGGATCCGATTTTTATATTATTTTATTATTTTAATATTAAAAAAAATTAATTAAAAATTTATTTGAAAAAAAATATTTTATCCGGGTCGGATGTGGAGATCCGACCCGGTCTCTTTATATATTATTTTATTATTTTAATATTAAAAAATTTCTCAAATTTTTTTTTATTTTTTTTTAAAAATTAAAAAAATTTCGAAAAATCAAAAATTGGAAATTAGGTTTTAAAATTGTTTTTCACTCCGTTTTTGTGTGATCACTATCACATTCGATCGCACGTTGCTTGGTGCACACACTCTGAATTGCGCGTTTAATTTAATCTCGCATGCGATTGATTATGCAAGTTAGGTTTAGATATTAATTGTTGCTTCCCTTAGCTTAGTTAGGAATGGGATTTTGAGACTCCCGATTGGTGTGAACACGTTAGGTGGTGAATTGAACAAGATTAGGTACCGAAAGGGCACTAATTAGTCAATTAGTGTAATTAAGTTTCCGTACCCATTGAATCTCTGGTTCGTAGAAGTAAAGCATTTCTCCCGTGCTTTACTTGGGTGTCTAATCGACCCACCAAAAATCGATTAGTGGCGACTCCTAGATGAAATTTATTTGCATGTTAACAACTTAAACTTAAGTCGCGAATTGGTATGGGCTTGGGAGAGCTCGAGCTAGGTTTAACTTAGTAATCCATTAGCCAAACCCCTTAGGCGGCGGGACCGGTTCGGGGAGGTCGCGACAATATTCTCTCATCATTTCTCGTGATCGGTGTCCGCTTCGCGATCGGATCCTTGGTCCACGTACCGCTTTCTAATTAGCCATACCCTATTGGTTAGTATCCCCAGAGTGATCAGCTCTGGGCGAGACTTACTAAAATGAAATGCGAAATATTGTCAATTTTATTGATTCCGGAACTACATCGAAATTCGGGCTGTTACAAAAAATGCCCTTCGCCGACCGGAAAATTTGGTCGATCGGCGAGGTTAGGCCCTTATTTGAAATTGTTATAGCCACTTTTCGCCCTTATCTGTGAAACTGTGGGCATTTTGAACCTTTATTTGAGAAAATGATGGCACTTTAAGGCCCTTACTTTGAATTTTTCCTCATTTTAATATAAAAAAAAAACTTAAACATAGAAAACTGGGGGAGATCTGTTATTTATGGTAAAAGAATTACGATATCTTTTGCTAATTAAAAAGAGCTTTATTCTTCTATTACTGTGCCTCTTCTTCTACGTGATTTCTTCTTTTACGTGATTGTAAGTTAGTTCTTCTCATTCTTGCATATAAATTAGACGAACATCTCTTTTTTACATCTTCTTTTGTTTCTTTAAGAGTTCTAAAGAGACAGGTGCAGTTAAGTCAGCTCACTTACAGGATTCATTTTGTTGTTAATTAGGTCATTTTGGCCCTTTTTAATGAAATGGTTGGGATTATAAGATGATAAGAATAAAAGATGAAATACGCGCTTGTTACGATTCTGTTTGGAATGACCTACTTTTTTTTGCGTTTTGTCTCTTGCAATTTTTGCTACTTTTACGATTCCAACCTCTTTTTTTCCAATTCAAAAGGCTCAAACGTTTAGATATATGGAGATATCGGTGATTGAAATTAATTGTTAATGTAGAAAAAATAAATAAAGGGATGCATTATTTCCACGTTCTAAAGAGCTATATGCACGATATTTATCAACTAAAGTGACGAAAATGCCCTCACATGAGTCGAATGCTTTCGGTTGTTGGAAGTTTTTTGTTTTTTTTCCCCTCTCATTTTCCAGAATTGATTTTTGACTTTGGAATTCTCCATTCGATAGCACTCACAAGTCTCCATAATCTAATAAATAGATTTTTGTTCAGTTCTTCACAAATTTTCTTATTTAATGTTTTAGCAATTCCCTCTTTTGCCGTGGATAGGCCCGCGAGACTGTAGAAAGGGTAGTTCCGTCTCTTCACAGAAAAAGCTGTGGAAATAGTCATATAATCAATGAGTGGACTTTCCGCTCCCGAAGAAGCCCCTTCATATAGACGCCCTCTTCGGCCATTCACCTGCGATTCTCTGAAGGACGTCTACAAAGGATTTGAAGGTCACTCTCTCTCTCTCTCTCTCTCTCTCTCTCTCTCTCTGCATGAATTCCTGGGTTCCGATGTTCCAGTTTCCTGTGTAATTCCCTTTCTTTTCTGGAACCCAATTCGATGGGTTTCACTTGATCAGTCGCTAACCCATCACCAGAATCGCCTGAATTCCGCTAGTTTGATTTTGTGTTCTATTTGGGCATCCGCAAAATCGAGACTTTTGGCTGTAGTAACTCCATGCGCTTGCGTCATGTGTTGTTGCTCTTCCTGTTTGGTCACGACGTGAATTTGGGCTTTTGACTTGTCTGGTGTTTTGAGCATGGATTGGTTTCCGTGGGTATAGGAACGTTACAACATTGGCTTGAAGCTTATTGTTTATGCAATGTTAAAGAAAAGAGACCGTCGAGCTATTAGGATTTGGTGAATCCTGAGTGGATATATGATGGTGCTTGCTACCCATTAATGCGCTCGAGGCACAAGAGAATTCTTGTAACTGACTGGTGTGTGCCAGTGAGTTTTCTTGATAAAGAAAAAGAAGATCATGCATGTGGGTCTGGATCTATGCTTCACTCTTTTGAACCCTGTGAAAAGAAGTTGCAATCGAAATTCATAGTCTGTTATGTGCTATGATATGTATATGTTCAGCTTGTCTTCGCGTAAACGGGGATGGCTGTTTATGAAAGAACGTATTCAGAGGACTTGGTGGGTATTCTTTATAATTATCTAAGGACTTAGTGGGTAAATTTCTGTGCTGAATTTGCTGTTGAGATTATTATCTTTACATGATTTTGAGTTTTGAAACCCTTGATTGGTATTGTTCTCGAGAAATTTTCATTTGAACAATCTCGTGACCTTCGCTTGACCTTGTATGTTCTTGTTCTACACGCGAGAATAGTTGCTGCCAGCTTAGCTTAGCTTATCCTACTGTACTGGCGAGTTTTACTTGGTCTAACCATGTTGTGTAGATTCAAATTGTTGATTTCTGGTTGCAGACGAGAAATCTCATGAGTTGGTAAGGTGTTTTCCCCATGGATGCTGTTAAAGGAGAATCCAATTATGATACCATGCAATGTATGCCTAAGAAGGAAGAGGGCTCGTCGGTTGGCATAAAAGTCTTGTTTTTTGCGAGAGCTCGTGATTTGACTGGGTTGAGTGATGTGCGTTTGGAGGTCCCTTTTGGTAGCACTGCAAGTGACTGTTTAAAGGAGCTCGCTGTAAGATTTCCGGGCCTGGAAGAGATCCGTCAATGCATAGTTCTGGCACTGAATGAAGAATATGCAAGCGAATCAACCGTTATTAAGGAGAACGACGAACTGGCCATCATCCCTCCCATAAGCGGGGGATGATTCTTCCTGTTAGCAGCCATTGGCGCAATCATCACCCACAAACACAAGCTATTATGTCATACATGTTTCATCTAGAGAGAGGGGTACTGTTGAAATTACTAAGACCCAGTTACTGGTGTGTAATTTGTTTGTTTCAAACACCACTTTCCTCCCTTGTATGGAACACTGTAAAGATTAACTCCTGATTTGCATTTGTATGGGAAAACCCATCAAGGACCAATTCCTCAAATGAGATATGTTTAATAAAGTCTACAGTCTGCCAAATTCGGGTTTTCATAGCAGTCTAAAGAACTTCAAGAAATTCGGGCTCTAGGATGGTATCACTATCTATGCAACTGAGGTGGTCTTGTCTTCTAAATTAGAAAGAAGAAAAACAAATTGAACTTGCAGACTTGTTAAGAAACTGCAGAATCTGATGCGTGTGGATTTTAGAGAAAGAAATATACTTAAGGAGAGGAGAGGAGGCTGACAGGGGTTCTGCCTTCGTTTGAAGTTGGCCATTTTAGTCCCTGCAGGGAGGAGGTTGACATGTCCGTAAGTTATGTCTTATTATGAGGCAGACACGGTTTAGAGACGCGACGTTACACTTTGATTTGAGCGGAACCCTCTCTGATTTTGCGGACTCTGACTAACAACCTAACCAAAATCGCAGGTTCTTCCTAACACACAGTAACTACCATTCTTTTCCATCAGCATTCTTTTTGTCAAATTGTCTCTATTCACTAATAACCAGTGGAGCTAAATCAAATCGAGTATATATGAAACATACAACCCAGCTTTGGTCGAAGGCCTGTGTCCACCTGTTCCCACAACGCCACGCGCGAATATATAACGGATCGGATCTTCTTCACCAAACGGAGTATCAGATAATAGATCGGAACTGCCATACACTTGATTCCCAAATTCCTTTGCAGGGGTGCCTCAGGTGGGAGCATGAATTGAGGAGAAATGAAACGTGGGCATGTGGTGTACCTCACATTAAAATGGTTTCATCAGATTTTTCATTCATATGCACCAGAAACATAATTACATGAGTACATACCCCCAGAAAAAGCACAGCAAAAGATAGAAGATTTAATGCCAAATCCCACAAGGTCCAATATCTTTTTAAACAAGCCCAGACAGACATATTTGAGAGATTATACACAAACAGTTGTACCACTTTCATCGATACAACACATACCAATAAAAACACGACAATTTACTCTGAAGAGTTTCCCAGTGAACATACTGCTGCTCCTTGTGACCGTCTCAAAGACGTTTATCTCAAACTCATGACAGGCCATGCAGCAACACCAGCCGCAGGAAGTGCAGGCCGCACAATCGGGACGCGTTTCACCACTGAAAAAGCTTCATTGAGACGTGCTGCACGACTCATGAACTGGGACACCTTCTGCGAGCATTAATCATAGATTTGAAGGGAGTCAGATATGATTCCCGCAAAAAGACTTGACCCGAAGCGTTCCTCAACTCCCGAAGGAGGGCAAACTCGGTCTTAGTAACAGGCAAATTATATATAAAGCTTACTTCTTCATTGACAACATGCAAAAAATGAGAGGGGCAAGAGGAAGGCGTACAACAAACAGCATCTAGTTTCATTCCAACTCTAACATAGTACGGAAGAGGCACTTCTCAACAGCTTGTTTAACAAATGTGAACAATCAGGTATTTTAGTCTCTTCCAAGAAGATAAAACTATTGAAACACAAAAACTTCCATGTCCTTTTCTTTTAAGATTTCGAAAGAATAGGACATCTACTATAATAGTGAAAACTTTTCATAGGGTACATGTCTTTCTTTCCCGAGTCACACTCTTGTATAAGATGACAACGCCCAATCTTTTCCTAGGCCCGAACCTTTTTCCGTGCATCCTTTTTGTAATGTTGAGTTTCCATACTTTTGAACTTGGTGATAACCAGTCAATGTTCTTGTATATAATGATTAAAAAATACCTCAGGCCAACTCCTAAAGGGGTTCTAGTGGAGTTTCAAGACCTAGCTCCATTAAAACCTGATAGAAGTTGTATGGCAGGACCGTTTTCGTCAATGTGTACCCCAAAGTACAGTATTTTCGACCCTAAAGTACAGTAGCTTTTTAGACTATTTACCCCTTTTATATAAAGAAGAACAGGTTCTCTCTTTTCTGTATAGAGGATTCCGACAAACCCACGCAATTAGATAAGAATACTGCACTTGCACAGATTCTTAAGGTGCTACTTGGGTATATTACTGTGTCAACCTTCCTGTTTTTGATAAATCAACGGCACCGTATTAAAAAGATTTTCTAAGGTCCAAACACATGGAAAATCCATTTGGATACACAAACTGAATTGATGTGCCTAGAGAAAAGTGTAAAGCACCGCCAGATCTGATAAGATAGCTTCAGCCTGAAACTCAGAAGATGACTAGTCATAGAGTACAGTTATTTCCACATCTCTCATATGTGACAGCATGCTCAGAGGATAAGATTATTTTTCCTCATAATGATAATTTGCTATACATGTCATAGTAATGATGAAATCACCATCAGCACACAACATCAAAATATCAGAAGCATCAAAATCTGGTTGACTATGTACCTGCCGCTAACATAAGAAAATTACTCCTTTTTGTTGCGGCTAAATGAGAAAATTAATTACACGTTCAGATTTAGCTTTTAATAATTCATTATCCAACTACCAGAAGAAACCTAACCGTGCTAAACATAATGGCATATCCATGCTATAAGTGAATATTGATAACGCTAATATTGTTGAAGTATTATCCCATCGATTGACAACGGGTCCTAAATGCTTTTTATATTCATGTGGCCTCCTCCACCTATCAGCTTAAGCTTTTGCATTGGAATTTTTAACAAATACTGAACCTGAATAGCATCAAGTCCAAACATATTATAAATTGTGAACATGTTCTTTGTGAGCCTAAGCATTCTTTTGAGTAGATTATCAGATGTGGACAGCAGAACAAAAAATATCCATATTATGTCAAGCTGGAGTACAGTGTATTTGCACCAGGACGAGACCTTGGTAGTGGAAACATGCTTTCAAATGTAATTTTATCAAACTAGATTAAAAGGACGTGCTTGAAGGGATCATCAACCAAATTGACTCAAAACTTAATAGATCCACGCAGATTATACAGCCACAAAGTTCGTAAATATAAGGACTTCATAGCAGCCACAACATCAGTGCACTTGATGGTAATTGACAATTTGGCCAAAATAGCCACCAGAAGAATTATTTACAATGAGAAAGTGCCAAAACTGAATAGAGGATGAGAGAACTTACTCAGAGCCTGTAACATTTCTTAGAAAAGCCGAACAATAATGTAACAGAAGCATCCATTATTTCATAAGAATCACAGCGCAGTAATGATTGGGACACATAAAGAGAGAATGAAGATCTGATAGTAGGTACACCTCGAAGGAGAGACTGACAGGCGTCTGTGCTAATTCAAAGAAAATGCAATGTCCCACAACAACAAAAAGCAGAAGTACCTCCAAACAAAAGAAACATCATCAAGTCATAACGACCATGTACTTGCTAAGACAATCAAACAATTATGGCATCAATCCAACGTCAAAAAAGCACTTGTTATTGGTTCTAGGAGATGGAATTGACATCAATCCAATACAAAAAAGAGAATATTTATTGGAGATAAGAATGGGAATATTAACAATGCAACCCCTTCCAAAAAATTTTCAAAAAAAGTTAATTTAACCTCATTAATCAGCCATGTAACTCTCATGGCAAGCTTGGTTTGTGGAAATGAACCAAAGGAATGGTAATTCCGTGGGAATAAAAACGAGTAGAATACACCTAGATAGACGCTACCCAATAACTGTTAAAATCGAGAAACGGAACAGTCATCATCAAGAATGGGCTGGGAATGGAATGGTCATTCCCTCAATCCAGACACTCTGTCAGGTATATAATAACGGGAGGGTACTACGAAACAGTATATAGCATTTTGAATCCAGTCTTGTCAATAGAACAATGCCCATAGAACAAAGAACGTTGCCACTTTGCGAAGCAACGAAGGAAAACAACCAAACAACCAACCAATTTTACCAATTCAAAGCACATCGTGTATAATATCAGCAAACAGGACAGAGAAAAGGCTCGAGCTGAGTTCAATCGAGACAAGGAAAAGAAAAGCAGATTGACCTTGTCATCCACGGTAATCTTCAGCTGCAAAGTGCGGGTCTTCTGCTTCGTCTTGTACAGCCTCCTTCCCAGGATGACAAATCCCAAAAAAGCAGCAGCTACAGAGAGCGACCAAAAGGGACTGACCCTAAAAACACAGTACCTCAACAGCTCAAAAGGCACCTTCCACCACACCGTTCCTCTTTTATCTTCATCACCCTCCGGCTTCGCCGCTTTGATCGCGAGGCTTTCGTCCTCGACTGCTCCGTCCCCACCCTCTGCCTCCGCCGCCTGATCATTTCGAACCCCCAACACCTCTTCCCCGCTCATGTCCTCTCCAAGTTTCATCGCACCCAATCTCTCCCCACCCGAAGCAGACCAGAACTTAGGAGAATCCTCGCCGGGACCTTGAATTTCACCAACATCGACCTCCTTCTTGCCGCTTCCGGAGAAACCATACTCGCCCTCCACGCCCAAATCCCCCAAATCGAACTCCCCCAACCCGAAACCCGACTTCTCGCTCTTCCCCACCAATCCCCCGGCCGCCTCCGCCTCCGCGGCCACCTTCGCGCTCCCCGCCAACGCCGCGGCCGCAACGAGCTCGCCCACCTTCGGATCCAAATCCACGAGCTTGCGCTCGTCGGAGAGGTCGCTGCCGGAGTCGGACCAGAACTCGCCGGAGTCCTTCCGCGGGTACCGAGCCTCGGGCCCGGCGGGATCGATCCAGCTCGGGTTGTCGGAGTGGACGGAGTCGCCCTCCTCGCTGGCGGCGGCGGCGGCGGCGGCGGCGGACCTGGGGTACGGGCCGGAGCCGTCGATCGAGAAGTAATCAGGCCGGATCATGCCCCCGGATTCGGCCTCGATGTCGTCGAGGCTCTTAGGGTTGACCCCTCGGACGACCGAGTCGGTGTCGTCGGAGGAGGCGGAGGAGGAGGAGCTGTGGAGCAATTCCCAATCCTGGAACTCGCCTTCCATGGCAGGCAAATCGGGGGGGTCGCGCCGCGAGAAACCCAGAAGGGAAAAGGAAGAGGAGGGAAATTCTTACAGGAACGAGCGGCGGCCGGAACCGCACGAAGGAAGGAAGGAAGGAAGATGTGGAGGAGGAGGAAGAGGAGGCCGTTTTTATGGGTGAGACAATATATTAATAATGGGGGAAAAACTTTGAAGCAGTTGATGTGTTCTTACCAACAGCACACACCTCCCCTCGTCATTTCTCTCTCTAAAAAAACCCACCGAGGATGTCACATTCTCTCTCTCTCTCTCTCTAACTTTACTTTACCACCATTTGTTTTTGTAATTTTCATAATTGTCAGACCCAAAAAAATAATAACCTTTATGATTTATTTTTTTTTTTTGAGATATCTGGAGCGGTGGAGATTAGTGATGTTCAGAAGAATCGGGAACAGTCTGGGACCGGATCGGATCGGACCGGCACAAGAACCGGCAAACCATAAAATCCATAATTTGAAACTCAACTCTCAACTCTCGTAAATTTACGGTCGCGCCTCTAGCAGTTCATTGCCCACCTCTCTCATACTCTCGGTCACCTCCACTTGCGGAAAACTTGATGGAACCGGTTCCATGATCCCATCGGCGGGCGGTTTCCTGGCTCCAATTTCTCGGAATCGGTCCTTAGTGGGGCAATTCCCGGTTTCATGTTTGGGAACCGCGCGTCCGGACCATGCTCACCCCCCAGAGGAGATAGAGAATGCGAGATCCGACAGCTCGGGGGCCCCACGTCATTCGCGGTTTATTAGTAGATTTTCGTAGACGATGGTGATTATTTATTTTTTTTAATAAACGAGTTGTTTTAATCTTACATTAAGCGCTGTTTATTTTTTAAAAATGTTTGGGCTGATTATGTTTGGTAATTTGCGGATCATTTTGTGGAAATCTGTCAGAATGGGATGGATGGGGGTGCGAGTTGGGATCGCTGCTGCTTTACTGGTTGTAGGTAGGGGTGTGCATGGTCCGGGTGGGCGGTTCCCATCCCGGAATCGTGGACCGTCCGCTACAGGACCGGTTCCAAAAATTGGAACCGAGAACCGCCCGTCGGTTTCATGGACCCGCCCGAGAACCGGACCGCCGGTCCGGTCCGGTTCTTGGGCGGGTCCATGGAACCGGTCTTAACAAGTTTTCCTAGACAAATAAAAAAAAAATCTATGGACCAACATCGGATCAACAGAACAAAAGGAAAAGAACATAACTTTTCATACAATTCCTACACTATGATCGATTATAATAACCACGTCATCCATAAATCAAATGGGTACCCATTAATTATTGAGAAAAATGACCAAGGTATCCCAACCTCACAAGAGTTTCAGACATGATAACAAAATTTCTTCTTTTTTTAAATTTTTTTTGGTCAGATTTTTTTAATTAAAAATTTAAAAAAATAAAAATATATTATTATTATATTACCGGTTCGGTCCGGGTGGGCGGGTGAGCGGTTCCACACCGGGAACCGGGAACCGGCCCAAACAGTACCGGTTTCAAAAAATTGGAACCGGGAACCGGACCGGTTTCCTTGGGATCCACCGGTTCCGAGCGATTCCGAGCGGTCCGGACGAGTCCCGGTTCTTTTGCATACCCCTAATTGTGGGACTTGGGATGGCTTTGCGAAGCGCAAGGGGCCAGGTAAGGTTTGGTTATGACTATGACTTTGATTTCTCTACGCTTTTTGCAATAATTTAATGCTGGTATTGCATTTTTCTTTCTTTCCTTTTTTTTCCTTTTTTTTTTTGGTTGGGGGGTGGCCAGTGGATTGAAGAAGAGGGTGTCGAGACATGCCTTGCTTGACGTGGCAGAGAAACTGAGATCCATAGATTTGGCGAGAAAGGGTCCCTTTGTTTGTACAGGGGTCTGATTTTTCGGTATTTGAACAATGAGGGGGAATTAATCGATTAAAAGAAAATATTTTTCGTGGACTAAAAAGCGAAAACCACGAGCTTAAATAAGAGGAAATCGATATTTTTTTTTTGGGTAAGAAGGAAATCACTTTCCATAAATCAATGAACAAATGAAAAGTGACCGTTTTACTTGAAAGATAATTTTCAATGGAAAACATTTTCCTCCTTATTTTTTTCCCTCTTCTTTTTACTACGGCCGCTGGCGAAGCCAGCCTCATAGGACCACGGTAAAAGGAAAAAAGGAAAAGAGAAGTAAAAAGAAAAATTAAAAAAATTGAAATATTGTCCATGTTCAGGACGGACGTCACTTACGTAAGAATGGCAAAAAAGGAAAAGTGAGTAAAAGGGTTAAAAAATTAAATGTTGTATGGTGTTGACAAAACGATAAATTTGGGTTTTTCTGATGTTTTTTCCCAAAACGTGGGAGTGAGTTTCGATAACAATTCAATCGATCGATTGCCTTCAAGCCCCTAAATGATTTAAAGATGTTTCTTTCGCGGGGGTACTTTACCTATGAGCGGTTGATGTAGGGGGTCATCTACGAAGATCTAACAAGAATCTAACACTAAAGACACGGCAATCAAGAGTGCATTTGGTCGGATTGTAGACTCGTCCGAAAACACAATTTTTTTTGGCACATCGGATCAAAACTCTCCGAAAACGTCTCATAAAACCCCCAAAAAAAAAAGATTAAAAAATCAATTTCTTCTCATGTCGGTCCTGAACTTACAATATCAGGATAAATGAAGTGCGAATTTTTTTCCTTTCTTTTTTTTTTCGGCGCGACGGACCACATAAATACTAGAATATAGGGAAGCATGTATAAAAAGGACGAAAGGCAGGCAAGCTCCCATCCCTATTTATTAACCCAATTGCGATCCTCACGTGCCGTCGTATTTTATCGCTTGCCATTACTGTATTTTCCGACAGTGCATTATCCAGTCCGCAAAATTCCAATAATAAAAAAAATTAAAAATTAAAAAAAAAATGAATAAATGTGCATCCCTCCTCCAGATTTCCAGAAGAAAGGATATGATTAAATAGAGAAAATAAATCGTGCCCCTCCAGCCAGGCACCATGCACACGTGGAACGGCCCCCGGGACGACACGTCGCAGTGGCCCGGTTAAAATATGGAAAAATTGTTATGTTGTATTATATCAATGAGCCCTCAAATTGTTTTTTACCCTAAGTATGGTCCTTCTGTTTGTGATCAGAATTTTCCTTAACGGGTAATAATAGTCGTGTCGTGTTTGGCACGGGGGGAAACGGAATTCCGCCGATTTCCCAGTGCGCGCGAGCCCGGCTTGAGCTCGCCCAGTAATCGAGCCCAATTCGAGCGCCTGGGACGGAATTCAGTGGCATCGGTCGGTGTCTTGACAGCGGAACGACGAAGCGTGATGACAGACTCAAGTGCCATTGTACCAGCACGCGTTATCAGCACAAACTTAGCCAAAATGGGGTCAACAAACCAACCCAAATTCCACCCCCCAGAAGCAGCGCAACCGGTTTGAGCGCGCCCTGCAGGTGAATCCATCCAAGGCATGTCAATTCATGCCTTACTTTACGAGTCTCTACACTTCATAGGGCCTGGAATTGCCCGTCTCCTTTCCATGTCTTGAAGAGGCAATTGATTAATGGTCCTAAGCAAGACCTAAAGAGGGCTTCATCCTGGGTCTCGAAGTCCCCGGAATCTAAAGTAATTATAGGGTGTTTTCACTCTTCTGGAAAGACAAAGAACGGGAAGGAATTTGAGGATGCAAGGCGTGCAGGCCCCCGGCATGTTAAAATAAGGTGTGGAAGTGGAGAGGCTACGGAGGCCTTTGTAGGAGCGCAAGCACCTTAACCATACCAAGAATCCAAAAAGTGCTCGTCTCCTTTCTATGCCTTGAAAAGGCAATTGATCAAGAAATGTTCACCTAATATAACTGTCGTGAAATTGAGAGGTGCAAAGCGTGTGGGTCTCGACACATTAAAATAAAGAGTGCATCAGTAGAGCCCGCCACCACTCGTGGAAGTGGAGAGGCTACGGAGGCCCTTACAGGAGCGCAAGCACCTTAACCATACCAAGAATCCAAGAAGTGTTCGTCTCCTTTCTATGTCTTGAAGAGGCAATTGATCAAGAAATGTCCATCTAATATAACTACAGCGGAATTGAGAAGTGCAAGGCGTGTTGACCCCGGTATGTTAAAATAAGAAGTGCATCGGTGGAGCCTGCCACCACTCGTGGAAGTGGACAAGCTGCAGAGGCCCTGGTAGGAGCACAAGCACAATACCAAGAATTCAAGAAGTGCTAGTCTCCTTTCCAGGTCTTGAAGAGGCAATCAATCATGAAATCTTCACCTAATTTAACCGCCGTGGGCGTGGTGTTTGACGCTACATAACTTGTGGCGCGGATTTTCTTTACTTTGACTTTCATAGATTTCTCATTTCTCCTTGGACTCTTTCTTCTTTGTTGCTATGTTAATTCTCTTTCATACTTTATTGACTGCGTAATGTCGGATCTTGCCCCTACGCACACCATGCCTTTCCCTAGAGTCAAACTATACTCCTGAGCAACAATGAAAACGTTTATCTGTCATGTTCACTTGCTATAGACGTGTGACCGACCTCATGCTTGTCAAACACGCCAGTTCCATTTCACAGTGATAGAGAAAAGGTACAGTGCATTTTATGATGGGACTCTTTTTGATCTTTCCAAGTCCAATGTATATTGCCACATATGATTTTTTGTCCGCGGTCCACACTTCTTTCTTGTTTCTTTTCATTTATGCTCGTCCTTAATATATTGCGAGTATAAATTCGATCAAGGGAGATAAATTACAACACGGAATGTCCGAGACAATCCTTACAATCAAGTTGTTTGATTTCATATGTACCAATCCAATCGAGACCCACGATTAACCATACTTCATGCTGATAGATTTGGCCTTCAGAGTCCAAGTATTCGTCTGGCCATTAGCTTTAGACAAATCATACCGTCACGCACGGTGTGGAATGAATGGAGTACAGGGCACTAGCTTTGTTTAGGTTGACCTACACTTTTTTTAACTCTCCGCATATTTATAGTACTCAGACTTCAACCATTTTCATTTGATATGGAATAGTAGAAATCTTTAAAAGTAATCAAAGAATCGCATGTGGTATCATGTACACAGATTTCTAATACTCAAACTAAGTTTCTTTAGGATCCGACAATTTGTAAGGAAAGTTCAAAGCAGAATTAAGATTCCATCTGTTCCGCGAAAAATGTAACATTTTTTGGAAAATGTTTTTTAGGAAAATGACTTTAAGGGATTGGCGAAGAGACGAAGGAGGAGCTATAGAGCCAAAGAGAGATAAGGAGTGCACAGGCAAGAAGAGGAAGGAGAAAGAGTGCACGGAGGAGAAAAAGAGGAACTATTTTTCCGCTTTTGAATGTGTTTTTTTTTTTTATTGATCGATAATGTTTTGCTTGACCAATTTATTTTCTATAAACCAAACACCGAAAAATTCGGAAAACTTCTTTGTGGAAGCTGTTTTCCACAAAACAGACGACAATGAGTGCGTCTTAATAGATAGGGAAAAAGCGCAGCTCCAATTCAAATATAGATTTGACTCCTACATCACAAAAGGTTGGTGAGCTAGTCGCTCCTTCCTATCCATTTTACTATATAAAAAAAGAAAAAGATTTGACTCCTACAATTCAGAATTCCTGTAGTAAGTCCTGGCAACAATTTCTACATATAAATGAATATTAAATAATATTTTCTATTGTTTCAACCTTGTTGCTAATGCTAGAAGCAGCATTTTACAACCCGTAGAGGCTTCTATTTGGCATCATAAGCATGAAAGACAACTACTATTGCTTGCCGGTAATGTTAAAAATGGATGAACAGTACCGAAGCAGTATAGAAGTAGCAAAGTTAAAAATGGATGAACAGTATAGAAGTAGTAATGTAATTTAAGTTCTCACAACTTTCAAACGGTTGAGAAGTTCTTGAACCATGGCGCTTCTAGGAACCACTTCCTCTTTGGCATTCTCCATATCTTTCAACTTCACCACACCTTCACTCAATTCCCGCGCACCTACTAGCACCAGCCAGGGGATCTGGTTTTTTCTGGCGAAATCAATGTGCTTCATCACTTTCTTATGGAGCATGTAGTCTGCTCTCAATTCGGCATCCCGTAACTCAGTCACTAGACCTGAAGCTGTATGCAAGTCATCCTCATCCCCCAAATATCCGAGCAACACTTGCGTCTCTGTAGCTCGAATTATCCTCTGATGTGAAAAAAAGAAATATGATGACTCAATCTTTACATTTTTCAAATGGTATTCTCATCATTCATAAGTTTCTCATCTTTCCTCAGCAGTATGAGTCAAGTCTATGACGTTACGTACATTCAACTCCTAGGAGTCTACAGAACATATAAAACCTTCGAGTAGTTAACTTCCGTCTAAAACGGGAGATGCTAAGCGAGAATGTTAAGCTCAGTTGTCAGAATTAGATGTCTGTGAAGGTGACAGAAAGCAATGACCCTCACTAATATTCGGTTGCAAAGAATAGATGAAATTCTGGAAAAATTTATAACTATTTTCATCCGACTTTTCTGTTCTTTTATATGCTCAGGGATTTCAATCCTGTATAAGGATATGAGAATGACGGAAAGGTCCAGAGACTACTAAGGTTATAAAATTAATCCCTCGTGTCAACTAGCATGGAAAAATCAACAAAAGTGCTCGTCAAAATTTTCCTCAACTACGTTCACTCACAGCTCAAAAAGGAAGGCCTATTATTATCTGGACATGAGCAACTTATAAAATGCATAAACGAATGCAGGCATGATATTACAGAAACAAATAATTTGGATAGAACGGTAAGCAGCACCCACTAAGAGCTTTCTTTTACTTATCCTCATAACTATTGAAGAACTTTGATAAACGTAATCTAACATTCCTCCAAGAATCGGAACGAAGCAAACAAAACATTTACTTTTCACAATTAAGAAAGAGCCTAGAGAGATTGTAGTCATAAGAAGACATGAAACTTATTGGAAAGTGAAAATTAATTAGTCAAAATCTTACTTATCACATTCCAAACCAAAACTAGGCGAAAACGGGTTTGGAACCCCTTGAAAACAAAAGGCCAGAAGTCTTGGCTCTGGTATGCCATACAAGCTAAGGGTCCAATTGATATTTAACATTAGCCTATGGCCATTACGATGTCTAAATCCCAGAAAGTACCTTCAAATGGTCAGTACCACCTATACAACAAATTTAATTACTCTTTTATTTTAACATAAAATTATAGATCTTTTGACACATCCACATTTCTGTTAAAAAATAGTGTGTCACCTATGCCTTCTGAAAGATCATCTCGGTCAGTTAGCTAAAGAATTTCAAGGTATCTGCACTGTTAAATTGATTACGCAATTAATACAGTAAGTCAAGCCACAAGTTCTTAAAATCTCCTAGAAGGCTTAAACACGTTAAGGGAGACCAAGGAAAAAAAAAGAAATACATAGAATTACAGATAGATCTTAAATATGAGTACCTGACCCTGATCTTTCTGACGCTGCTCCATTATTGCAAATACTCGTTCAATTCCTAGACTAACACCAACTACTGGAACTTGCTTTGTACCAAACATTCCTATAAGGTTGTCATAACGCCCCCCGGCACCAATTGATCCAACCTGCATATATAATCTATTATTAATACAGTCTAATGACTAACAAGATCAATCAGAAGATTAAAAGCATGAAGAAAATCCATAAAGTGATTGCACTATTCTATCGTTATAGAAAGCAATAATTGAAGTTACATCAAATCTCAAATCCTATCATGACAAGCACCACGCGATGGATCGAAAGCTACATCTACCACATTCAACCACATCACCATCTAAAATCACCAAAGCACTCAACTCTGTCATCTCTTGCGAGAGTGGCTAAGGGCAAATATTTGTTCCGCTGGGGCTTCAAAGCAGTTGTACATGTGCAAGAACAGAAAAAACAAGGCTCTTACGACCTTAAAAAAAACAAAAACAAGGCTCTGATATGTGGATGACAGTTCACGTTCACTTTCATAACCTGGCATCTTAATTTAATTCGGTAGCTTCTCTAAACATCTCAGGCCTTGCAATTATTCAGTTCATCTCTATTCGCATAAAGAGGCCTTTGATACATTCTGTAACTATGTTACAGATTTTTCAGTAACAAAATAAAGTGATAATTTGCGCACTGTATTCTACCAAGATGCAGACAACTCAGCAATAAGACCTCATCAATGTCACTTAGCAAATTTTACATCTCTCTCTCTCTCTCTCTCAACCTCTCCCTCATCCCCTCCCCCTTTCGTGCCCTCTCCCTCCCTCTCTCCCTCTCCCTTTCCCGCTCCCTCCCTCCCTCCCCCCCCCCCCCCCCCCCCCCCCCTCTCCTCGCACGCTTGCTTTTGCATGTGCAAAACTGACCAACACTACAATACAACAGCAACTACAAGGCAACTCCTCCATTCTGTAAAAAAGGAAGCGATAACTTCTCTATCCTAGCTTTCGCAAACAAACTGTCCAACAGAAATTGCTTTTACATGGAATATTAAGCGGGAAGTACTTGCAAGGAGTTACCTGTGTGTCCCCTTTAAAAACTGCTTCAAATATCACCCCTGTATAATAATCTAGACCTCTGGCAAGACTCAAATCAAAAACAACTTTGTCGGTGCACTTTGACTCTTTCAAGGCCTTGAACAATCTTTCCAAGTCATTCAGGGCATGCACAGATCCTTCATTTTCCAGAAATCGGCTCCCCTTCTGTTGAAGCTTTGACAACAATTCCAGAGGGTGACCCCTTTCCTTTACAAAATTGCCAATCCTGTCTACCATCTCGGCAGTTAAACCTTTTTTTTCCACCTAAACGATGTTAAAATTGTTAGCAGTAATATGAGCTCATTTATTTAACAATAAGATACTGCGTGAAAATATCAGTTTATCCACCCAAAGAACACATATGTTTCCATAATCACCACAGCTCATGACAATCAACCCAACAATTAAGTTGTTAAAGAGCCCCATCAAATAGATGAGAACTGAGTACAAGTTCATACATAAGCAGTGAAGAACACAATGCAACTAGCTGATATTTACTGAATGATTACACATGCACTTCACCTTCAACTTCTCTGGATATTTCGTGAACCACGCATTCTTTTGAGGAGCCTCAAATGTGCTTAAACTCTTCATTCCAGAGAAAAGTATTAATAACTTTTTCCAATGTTGAAGGGCAAATCAATTGTCAACGGATAATTACAAAAACAGAGCTCTTGCATTGCAAGTGCTTTCAAGTATGTCCACATTTTCAATCGCTCAATGATATCTTTTCCTCCATTGCAAAATTGAAACAATAGTACAAAGAAAGTTGAAAAAAAAAAAAAGAGTTTTACAAAGAAAATGACATTCACAACACCAAAAATCTGGTTTTGATCTGGTCTGACAGTTACTTCAGACGCAAGTATACATGCAAGGTCACTAAAAATTTCTCACCATTGCCTTCCTAATTCAGACACAAGTATGCAGACAAGGATGGTATAATCTCTTACCATCTCCTTCCTAATGTGCTCAAATGACTGCTTGTCTAACTTGTCGATACTTGAGCAAATAGTTCTGAATTTCTCTGATGGCACACCACATATTTCCAACATACCGTCCAATAACTTCCGGCGGTTCAACTTTATCTGAGAATAAACATTATGAACAAAATTAAAATAATGAAAAAAACTGAGGTGAAGGTATTCAAACCATGACAAAATTGCCAAGCATAAAGAATATCTTTTTCCATGTGCATCTCTAGTCTGAATACCAGATACTAAATATTTACCAGCAGTCATTAAATCCTGAAAGTAAATATAATGATAGTCTCAAACCTTTCGACATCTTTCTTGAATTTCTACGTACACATCATACACCATCATGGACATCAACAACAAAGATATAAATATTACATCACAAAAGGGCAATTCTTGAGGGAGGCAGCCAACTGTCACCCATTTAACCATCAAAAACTCTCCTTCCGTTCTTCTTCATTTCCTGTTTAAAATTTTATTGCTTCTTCTTTTTATCTGTCGTCTAAATTTCAAAATATAGATAAACAATGTAGGGGGGGGGATGTTGGGGTGGCGACGGGAGAGCAGGAGAGAGGATGTTTACCTCATAATCTCCAATATTCAGTTTATCAAGCAGCTCAGTTAGAATTTTTATGACCTCAAAATCTGGCCCCATCCTTACATTTTGCCCAGCAATGTCAAAGTCACATTGGTAAAACTCGCGGTATCTACCCTTAGAAGGTTTATCCCTCCTGTATACTGTAGCTATTTGGTATCTCTTCAATGATGTAAGTCCATTCATCGCCATACATCTCGCAAATGGAACAGTCAAGTCGTATCTTAGAGAACAAAGCTCTCCACCCTGTCAAACAAAAGGACAATAACCTTCAGAGGGAAGACAAAAGATCATTGATCATATTAAATGTAAAGCAGAAACATGAGTATGACTCACAACACAGAGAATACCTAACATTAGTACAGTGAATCAATTATGCCAATCCCTGGTTCTCCTAGTCAATGAGGGCTTTACATTCGCGGAGCAAGGGAGCAAGGGAGTTTTATCAACTTTAAGAACTTTCTTAAGCATGATATGCATAAGAATATCAACCATCAATACATCTAAGGTAACAAGCAAGGTGAACTTAATAAAATATCCTCGATGTTTACCTGGTCAGCAAGATCGTATATCAACTTTGAGTCCTCGCCGTATTTTCCCATCAGAGTCTCTCTCAATTCAAAAACAGGAGTAGCAAGTGCCGTAGCACCATACTTCTTGAAAACCTCTGTTATAATGGAGAATGCTTTTTCTCTTATTGCCATTTGTTCTTTCATAAAATCACGAGTTCCCTACATGGACCATACCGTGCAAATGTCAAACTGACTCAAATCTCCGACAAACATTGAAAGTAGTTAACATTTATCGAAATGGTAGAAGTCAGCAACGGCTTTCGCAAGTTCCGATACAGGATAAAGTTCATCCAATCATAGAAAATGATATTCTAATGTGAAAGTTAAACAAAGATGGCCCTGTCTGTAAGCAGAATAATTCATGACTATTTTGAATGTGAGTTGAAGCAACAACTTAACCTATCATAAAGGTGTGCTTCGATAGAACTCAGGAAATTGCATGGACCGAACAGATATCTCAAGAGAAGCTCAATATTTCTTGTCCTGCAATCACATGCTATCCTCAACATAAGTTACTTAACTTGATATTACTCTCTCTCTCTCTCTCTCTCTCTCTCTCCATAAACTACTCATAACTATGCAGAAGTAAACGTACAGAAACCAGTTCTGCTAGTCCACACCCCAACTTAAGTTTTCAGCAGCCTCATTAGGAACACCAAAATTTCTATTAGTTAATTAGTTTACCCTGCCTTTAGTCATCAAGCAGCCACATCATGAATGAGGTCGATATAGTCCATTCAAAGTTTTCAGAACAAACAAATCATATGACAAACCATAGCATGCTAGGGCTACAAAAAAAAAAGTAGATAAAAGCAATTCTGTTGATATCATACTAATCATTTCATAGCTTGAATAATTTACCTTGGGAAGCTTGGGCAGCCTTCTACTCTCATTACTGTCCACAATGTCCTTCACTTTGTTCAAGAAATCGTCAAATTCTGGACCCCTCGTGTCCAGGAACAGTAATAAATCTTGTACAAGTTTCTCTAGTAAAATTGAACTATCACTGTCAGTTTCTCCGTTCCTCTGAAATCTATCCTTAATCAATTGCACCACAACAGCCGTCCCTCTCCCCAACAACACCTTCTTCTTCTTCTTCTCACTTTTCTTATCTGCTTGCACTCCATTAATTTCCTCATGCTTTCCCTTTTCGATCAACTCACTTCCCTCAAGCGCAACAAATGCGGTAATTGCCTCCCAAGCCACTATTTTCCAGACACGACCACAAAGCACATACGATTCATGCACAAACTTCTCAAAATCTCCGCCCATTTTCGCATTATTGAGCACCTTGTTCTCGTTCTCCAAATCATCCATACTTACACACTCCTTCTCAAACATACCTGTTAACCTGCTTTTCAGGGCATCGGCACCGATTGAATCTAAATTCATCTTTGCTCGGCATAAAGAGGTCCTACCAATATCCAGCAGCACATCAGCCAGCGGCCACAACACATTCACAACGGCCTTGGCCGCGCCATCAGCGGTAGACCCAACTTTCTGTATCCTAACTCGCGAATTCAGGTACACTCGCACCTCCGAATGCACTGACTTCACCACCCTTCTCAATGTCGCATGAACTTTGGGAATGCACGAAATTGCGTCGCACTCTACTTTACCCACCAATTTAGACCCATTAAGCAAGACTTTCATATCACTAGCGAACCCGATCTCCTCCTTTGAGGCAAAAGGATCCCCCGAGTCGATAAGATTGAAGACCGCCACGTCAGCTTCGATGGCCTCACACGACAATGCAGCAACCGCATCGACCGTCGTGGACAAGGCCGTGGACAAGTGGTCCAAGACCGCACAAATCCCATACAAAGTAGCGTGCGAATGTTCTAATATATAAAGCTCTTCATGGGTAAGGGCGTTCCCAACATTAAGGCGTCCCTGCGGGGGAGGGACAGAATTCAAGGAGTCCGAAATACGGTCGACAAGGTCCGTTCGCGTACCGGAACAACCAGAGATAAGGAGCTTGTTGAGAAGCACCGTCAGAGCAGCGCGCGTTTCCGCAACGCTGAAGTAAGGAGGGAAGGTTATCTGGAAATCGGAGGCGGCGGCGGCAGGAGAGATCCGACCGGCCGGCGACGACGAAGAAGACGCCGCGAGGCGATCGCGCGCCGACGAGTCTGCGCGCACGCGAGCAGTGCCGGCGCATATCGCGTATACTGAGGACGAAGAGACGGAAGAACCCTGGCCTCCCAAAACCACCGCTCCGGCGACGGTGTCGCCGCCGTCAGCCATTACAAAGAGCTCCAATGGCGGTCTCTGGGGGTTTTGGGGAGTTGGCTTGGAGAATGGGCAACCGGGATTTTATCAACTAATAATATAGGGAAGAAAAAATTCTCTCTGTACGGAGAAAATCATATTTTTTTATTTAAAAAATTACGCTTCGATAATCAAAAAAATAAATTCATATTAGGAATCACGTTGTATATTAGGCTAAAATTTATCCTTTTAAAAAAATTAATTCATTTGAAAAAAAAAAGGAAAAAATTATACTTCGATAACCCAAAGACTGATTTTTAAGAAAAGTAATACGGTGCCGATCTACTCGAAAACGTAGGCCGGAGCCTATTTCAACTTATAAGTGGCGTAAGTGCTCGTGCTTCACATGGGTTTTGTCATTTTTAATTTCTAAAAAACAAATTATACTTGTCAAAGTTTCTTCTCTAATTTTGTGCATTCCGCTTAGGTCAAAATTTAATATTTTTAAAATTATTGCGATGACGATCATGAAATTTGAAGTATGAGATAAAAAAAAACTACGAAAAAAACGGAAAAAATCCTGTGAAAAGAATATATGCAATACCATAAATCGAAGCGATTTACATATAAATTCAGTTACCTATATACTTTGTCCATCCTTCTAGTTAGCATAATAAATAGCAAAGCTATTACATGTTGTGTTGGACAAAAAATAAAGATGTAATTTTACTATCTGTTTTATGAAGTAGACTCGTATTTATGTGAAAATGATTAAAGGTATATCTACATCACAAAAAGTAATATTATCGATACGGTTTTACATACTATGACGTGTTTTTTTTTTTTGAATTCAGCCTAATCTTGATATACTGAGAATTGTAGCACACAATTAATTTTGGCCCTATATTATCGTGTGGTATATATATGCTTGTGTATTTATAAGTTTTCTCTTTTATCACATGGAATGATGCGAACAACCGAATAAAATAAATTCAAGTCTATGATTATGAATACTCTCCTATTGCCAAAAAAATTCGTACGATTTTGTTTTCTTTACCCAGAGTCGAAAATATTAAAGACCGTTCGGGGATATAACAGACTTGAGCAATTAGATTGCGTTCAGGAAAAGAACTCTAGACAAAATCATGAACATAATTTAACAACAATCCCTTTGATATTGTTAATGATACAGTATTAGGTACAAAGAGGGAAATTGAATATATTATTTTAGATTATATTAGATTAGATGAGATGTTTATCCATATTTCACCGTCTCGATAAGGCCTAATTCCAGCAAAAAAAAAAGTATCAACTTTACCTTAAATGACAATTGTGGCCCGAACTTTCTTTTTGTCTTATAAAAATTCACCAACTTTCACTTTAATCCCAAATCTAGTTCGAACAATCTGAAAATTTGACATCATAGGCGTCAGATTTGGGACTAGAGTAAAAATTGGAACTTATTATTGAGACAAAAAAAAATTTTGGAATCAGAAATATTACTCGAGGTAAAGTTTGTGCTTTTTTATTGGAATCAGCCCAAAATCCAAATGGACATACATGGCGATTGAATAGACATCATAAAGAGATGAATTTGTTGAATATTGATGTTTTCTTTTTAAGATTTACACAAAGGGGACTGCTTTTTTTGTGGCTGCAACAAGAGGAGAAATTCATTATGTTGCGTAGAACACTAGCAACACTCCATCACTAAATTTATGTGGCAATCTTAATTTAATTGCGTAAGTTGACATAATATCACAACTTCTTCATTTAGTAACTATGTACTAAGAATTTCTACTTAAAATTCAGTTATACAATCGAGGGCTTGTTTGAGAATAAGGAGAGGAAAATTTTCACAAGTTTTTCCGTATATTTCTGTATTACGGTCCTTACGAAAATATCCAAATAAGTAAAGACTTTGATATCTCTGGCGTTTAAATTATTAGAGATAATTAGGATATCTTCTAGAGATATTTAGGATATTTTTCATATTTCTCGTGATTTAGCCATTGTTCATATATTTGGGAGATTCTCTATATCCACGATTTTGTGTATCTTGATTGCTTGTACTTGATTTGATTACATTAAATAGATATCGAATAAAACCTACACATAGGCTCATGTACTTTTCATTAGGTAACGTCGAAATTATAAAGAAATTTCTTGATTCTCCCTTCTGCACATAATTCTTATCACAAATAATTAATAATGATATTCATTGGTAGCCAGTTGATTTTTTTTTTTTTGGTATGTTCTATTTTAACTCTTAATTCACTCTCAGATTTTTGCTTAGCCTCTTTACAGAACGTGGGAGTCGAGGTATCGGATAGTTTTTGCTAGAGGAAGGGATTTCAAACATTCTTTGCTTTCACATAACAGAGAAATTAAGATCAATAGATTATTAGGAAATTGGAAATGCATTGGGTATTTTAATGTTCTTCATAATCTGACTCTTGCGAGATCAAGAGCAAGTAACCACCAAGGGCTCCGATGTTAAGTGGTCGATTAAGCAAACAGAGAAACAAGAGCATTGAAGAGTGCTCGGCCTCCATTAGTTTCGTGAAAAATTGAATAATTTGAAAAAAGTTTCCTAAAAATAATTTATTGTTTCGTTTAAAATAATTAGTCGATGAAAAATACTTTCATTATCGGCAATGATTTCATTATCGACAATGATTTATACCAAAATATTTTTGTGAGCGATAAAAATATTTTTCGTTTATTTATTTTTATAAGTGATACTGGCGATTATTTTTAGAAATACGAATAATAGGAATTCTGCTCCTGCTTCCCAGGAAAAGGGTGTGATTAAATAGATAAAACAAATCAATAAATCATCCCCTCTGCAAACACAAACCATGCATGCACGCAGACACCAAACGTACGTAGACTGGACCCACAGTGACACGTCACCCTCCACAAGGATGACCAAAAAAAGGTCTAGCCGGTTAAAATAGGAAAAATTTTATATTATATGATCCAACCCCAAATTGTTTTTCGAATTAAATATGGTACTTCCGTTCGCGATTAAAATTTTCGAATTCATCCAAGGCATGTCAATTCGTTTCGACTTTTGTGAGTCTTAAGCTTAATAGGTTAGGAATTGCTCAGTCTCACTTCCATGTCTGGAAGAGGCAATTGATTAAGAATGTCTACCTAATTCATTGCATGTTCAATTCTGGTCCCCACATCTTGACCAAAAAAAAAAAAATTCTGGTCCCCACATAGAATCTAAGTCACTAAATTACCGATTTAATGAGCATGAGGTCCAATTGCATTCTAATGGACCTACTTAACTGAACAGGGATCGGTTTTATTCCATGCCGCAGCAGTCAAATTAAATTGTCGTGGGTTTGGAATTAATTTTGTATCAACTTGTGGGGGAAGATTTCTTTACTACGATTCCGGTTGTTTCGTTGAAAATAAATGATTTTGAAAATTATTTTAAAAAAATATTTTCATTTTTCATGGAACAAATAGAGTCTTCGACTTTGAAAGATTTTAATTATCCTCCTACTTCTTTTTTGTTATATTAATTCTCTTCATACTCTATTGACTATGTAAATATAGACACATGTTATGTAATCCACCTTCTATTTCAGAATGATTGACAAATGTATAATACACTTTATAATGTAACTTTTTTTTTTCATATTTCTTTGTCTAATAAATATTGCCATATACGAATTTCTCCGCGGCCTATTCTCTTTTTGATTTTTCAAATCTATGAGTCATTCACATATTGCGATAATAAATTCGATCGAGGGAGATAAATCACAACTCTGAATTCTCGAAAATGATATGGGTCCCTTGAGCTTGAGTTACAAATTAGGTACTATAGACTCACTATTAACTTAGAGAAATTATACGGGACTCACTGCAAAACTTAGATCAGCTCGCTAATCTTTTGCTTGCGTGAGAGTGTGAATTCCTTAGACATGAGGCCGACATTCTGTGCACTAATATCCACACATTGTCCAAGTCAATCCTTGCCATTATCATCAAGTTGCCTGAATCATGTTTCATGCCGATAGAATTGGCCTTCTGAGTTTCAAGCATTCATCTTGCCTTCTGGTCTGAGTGGAATTAACTGTAGACGCCTTACTATAGAGTTAAATGGACTATAGTGACTTGGACTTCTAACTTTCTGCATATTCTGCAATACTCACAATTCACTTGAAATCTTTCAAAGTATTCACAGAATGATAATGTAGAGTCAGGTATACTTTTCTCGATGTTTTCTAAGATCCGAACCGAGTTCTTTAAAGTTCCACATATTTTAATAAAGTTCGAAGCAGAACAAATGAGTAATTCTGTAAGTTCCCACACAGGCGACTTTCAATAGAAAAGAAATCATACAATTTCAGCTACAACCAGAGAAATTTTGTATTAAGAGTTTCTCCAACATCAAAATGGTTAATGACAGTATGTTCCACTAAATAGGGAAAACAACAGGAGATAGTTAGGCTGATCGTCCCTCCCTATCTTTTTTCATTGTTTCAATCTTGTTGCTGGAAGCAGCATGTTACCGCCGATAGAGGCTTGTATGTGGCATTAAAAGCATGAACAGTATAGCACTAGTAGCGTAATCTAAGTTCTCACAGATCATAAACGGTTGAGAAGTTCTTGAACGATTGCGCTTCGAGGAACTACTTCCTCTTTGGCATTCTCAAAATCTTTCAACTTTACCACGCCTTCCCTCAGTTCCCGCTCGCCTACTAGAACCATCCAGGGGATTCGGTACTCTTTGACGTAATCAATGTGTTTCATCACTCTTTTACTGACCAGGAATTCTGCTTTCAATCCGGCATCCCAGAACTCCTTCGCTAGCTCTGCTGCTAAAGGCAGATCATCCCCCAAAAATCCAACCAACACTTGTGTCTCTGTAGCTCGAATTATCTGTTGATGTGAAAAAGGAAATCAGATGACTCTATTTACATTTTCCAAATGATATTCTCATCATCCATAAGTTTAGGACGTTACGTAAATTCAACTACTGAAAGTCTACAGAACATCTAAAACTTTCAAATAGTTAACTTCCATCTAAAATGGGAGATGCTAAAAGAGAATGTTAAGCTCAGTTGTCAGAATTAGATCTCTGTGAAGGTGACAGAAAGCAATGATCCTAATATTCGGTTACAAAGAATAGATTGAATTCTGGAAAAATTTCAAACTTTTTTCATCAGAAATTTTTGTTCTTTTATATGCTCGGGGATTTCAATCCTGCATAAGGATATGAGAAATTGACAATGGTGGAAAGGTCCAGCGACTGCTGAGATTATAAAATTAATCTCACGTCAACTAGCATGGAAAAATCAAACAAAAGTGCCCGTCAATATTTTTCTTCGCTTAGTTCACTCACAGTTCAAATAAAGCCTCCTACTATCTCGAAATGAGCAAGTCATAAAAAAAATAAAGAATGCAGGCATGGTATTACAGAAACAAATAAACTGGTTAGAATGGTAAGCTGCACCCACTAAGTGCTCTTTTGTACTTATCGTCATAACTATTCAAAAAACTTTGATAAACGTAATCTAACACTCCTCCAAGAATCGGATTGAAGCAAACAAAACAATTTACTTTTTTCACAATTAAGGAAGAGCCTAGAGAGATTTTAGTCATAAGAAGAGATAAAACTAATTGGAGGAGCGTCCGCTGCCGCCGTGGGGTCCTTACCAAAAAAAAAAAAAACTAATTGGAGGATGAAAATTAATTACTCAAAATCTTACTTATCACGTTTCAAACCAAAAAGTAGGCAAAAAAAGGTTTAGAACCCCTAGGATAAAAAAACGGAAGTCTTGGCTCTGGTGGGGCATACAAGCTAAGGTTCCTATTGATATTTGACATTAGCCTCCTATGGCCATTACGATCTCTAAATCCCAGAAAGTACCTTCAAATGGTCCGTAACACCAATACAACAAATTTATTACTCTTTTGCTTTGCCACAAAATAATCAATCTATGAGCCATCCACATTTCTGTTAATAAATAGTGGGTCATCTATACCTTCTCAAAGATTATCTCAGTTAATTAGCTATAGAAAGGCATCTAAACTATCCAACTGCTTCTGCAATTAATACAGTAAGTCAAGGTACAAGTTCTCAAAATCTCCGAGAATGCTTAAACACAATAAGAGAGACCAAGGAGAGAAGTGAAGCAAGTAGAATTACAGATAGATCTTAAATGAGTACCTGGTTCTGATCTTTCTGAAGCTGCTCCATTATTGCAAATACTCGTTCAATTCCTAGACTGACACCAACTGCCGGAACCTGCTTTGTACCAAACATTCCTATAAGGTTGTCATAACGCCCTCCAGCAGCAATTGTTCCAACCTGTGCATATAATCTGTTATTACAGTCTAATGACCAACAAGATCAATCAGATGATTAAAAGCATGAAATTGATTGCACTATTCTATCCTTATAAAAAGCAAAAATTGCAGTTTCATCGAATCCTATCATGACAAGCACCATGTAATGGATCAAAAGCTATATCTACCACATTCAACCACATCACCATCCAAGATCACTAAAGCACTCGACTCTTTCATCTCTTGCAACAGTGGCTAAGTGCAAATATTTGTTCCATTGGAGCTTCCAAGAAGCAGTACCTGTGTAAGACCAGAAAAAACAAGGCTCTGAAATGTGGATGGCAGTTCACATTCACTTTCAAAACCTGGCATAATAATTTAATTTGGTAGCTTCTCTAAACAACTCAGGCGGTGCAATTATTCAGTTCATCAGTCTTCCCAAAGAGAAGCCTTTGGTACATTCCGTAACTATGCTCCAGATTTTTCATGTGAACATTAACATAATAAAGTGAAAAGTATCCTATCAAGATGCAAACAATTTAGCAATAAGACCTCATCAACATCTCTTAGCAAATTTTACGCCTCAAATCTTTCATATGTCTCACTCTGGCACGAGCGTGTTCTTTGAAACGTTTAGAAATGACCATGGTGACAAGAAAACTGCAACTGCAAGGCAACTCCTCCATTTTGTAATCAGAAGCGGTTACTTCTATGTCCTATCTTTCACAAACATAAATGTCAGATAAAAATTGCTTATACATGGAATATTAAATAGGAAGTGCTTGCAAGGAATTACCTGTGTGGCCCCTTTAAAAACTGCTTCAAATATCACCCCTGTATAATAATCGAGACCTCTGGCAAGACTCAAGTCAAAAACAACTTTGTTGATACACTTTGACTTTTCCAAGGCATTGAACAATATCTCCAAGTCATTCAGGGCATGCACAGATCCTTCATTTTCCAAAAATTTGCTCCCCTCCTGTTGAAGCTTTGACAACAATTCCAGAGGTGCACCCCTTTCCTTTACAAAATTGCCAATGCGGTCCGCTGTCTCAGCAGTTAAACCTTTTTCCTCCACCTAAATGATGTTAAGAAATTTGGCCTCGTTTGTTTAACAATAAAACACCATGTGAAAAGATCAGTTTATCCACCCAAAGAACACATGTTTCCATAATCACCACAGCACATGACAAACAACCCAACAATAAAGTTGTTAAAGAGCCCCATCAAATAGATGACAACTGAGTACATATTCATGCATAAGCAGTGAATTGGAACAAAACACAACTAGCTGATATTTACTGAATGATAACACATGCTTGTTACCTTTAACTTCTCTGGATATTTCAGGACTCATGCATTCATTTGAGGAGCCTAAAATGTGCGTAAACTCTTCCCTCCAATGGCGAATGACAAATCGATTGTCAACAGCTAAATATAAAAACAGAGATCTAGCAAGTGCTTTCAAGCATGTCCACATTTAAATCACCCAATGCTATCTTTTCCTCCATCGGAATCAATTGAACATATTGTACAAATAAAGTCGAACAAAAATTGAGTTCACAAAGAAAATGACATTCACAACACCACATACCAAACCTGGTTTTGATCTGGTCCGACAGTTATTCAGACACAAGTATACATGCAAGGCTACTAAAGAGTTTCTCATCATTACCTTCCTAATTCAGACATAAGCATGCATACAACGATGGTATAATCTCTTACCATCTCCTTCCAGATCTGCTCAAATGGCTGTTTGTCTAACTTGTCGATACTTGAGCAAATAGTTCTGAATTTCTCTGATGGCACACCACATATTTCCAGCATACCGTCCAATAACTTCCGGTGGTTCAGCTTTACCTGAGAACAAACATTATGAGCAAAATTAATAAGAAAAACAAAAACAACAACAGCTGAGAAGAAGGTATTTAAACTCCGACGAAAATGCCAAATATCAAGAACATCTTTTTCCATGTACATATCTAGTCTGAACACCAGATACTAAATATTTACCAGCAATCATTAAATCCAGAAAGTAACTATAAAGACAGTCAGAAACCTTACGACTGAAGTGCAACATCTTTCCTGAATTTCTACATAAACATTAAAACGCCATCCTGAACATCAACAACGAGGACATAATTATTACATTATAAAAGGACAATCCTTGAGGGCAAACAAGCCTCACCCATTTAACCATCAAGATATTGCATTCTTTTTCATTTTCCTTTTCAAACTTTATTTTTTTGTTTCTTCTTTTAATCTGTCTTCTAAATTTCAGGATATGGATAAAACATGTGAAGGACGGGTGGAGGACAAGAGAGAGGATGTTTACCTCATAGTCTCCAATATTCAGTTTATCAAGCAAGTCGATAAGAATTACTACGACCTCATAATCTGGCCCCATCCTTACATTTTGCCCAGCAATGTCAAAGTCACATTGGTAAAACTCGCGGTATCTACCCTTAGAAGGGTTATCCCTCCTGTATACTTTAGCTATTTGGTGTCTCTTCAATGACGTAAGTCCATTCATAGCCATATATCTCGCAAATGGAACAGTCAAGTCGTATCGTAGAGAACAAAGCTCTCCACCCTGTCAAACAAAAGGACAGTAACCTTCAGAGGGAAGACAAAAGATCATTCATCATTTCAGATGTCAAGGAAAAACATGAGTATGGCTCACAACACAGAAAATACGTAACATTAGTACAGTGAATCAATTACGCCAATCCCTGGTTCTCCAAGTCAGTGAGAACGTCACATTCGCAGAGCAAGGGATTTTAGCAACTTTAAGAACTTTCTTAAGCATGACATGCATAAGAATATCAGCCATCAATACATCTAAGGTAGGAAGCAAGGTGAACTTAATAAAATATCCTCGATGTTTACCTGGTCAGCAAGATCGTATATCAACTTTGAGTCCTCGCCGTATTTTCCCATCAGAGTCTCTCTCAGTTCAAAAACAGGAGTATCAAGTGCCGTGGCACCATGCTTCTTGAAAACCTCTGTTATAATAGAGAATGCTTTCTCTCTTATTGCCATTTGTTCTTTCGCAAAATCACGAGTTCCCTGCATGGACCATACCATGCAAATGTCAAACTGACTGAAATCTCCGACAGACATCAAAAGTAGTCGACATTAATCAAAATGGTTGAAGTCAGCAACGGCTTTCGCAGGTTCCGATACAGGATAAAGTTCTTCCAATCATAGAAAATGATATTCTAATGTGAAAGTTAAACAAAGATGGCCTTGTCTGTAAGCAGAATAATTCATGACTATTTTGAATGTGAGTTGAAGCAACAACTTAACCTATCACAAAGGTGTGCTTCGATAGAACTCAGGAAATTGCATGGACCGAACAGATATCTCAAGAGAAGCTCAATATTTCTTGTCCTGCAATCACATGCTATCCTCAACATAAGTTACTTAACTTGATACTACTCTCTCTCTCCATAAACTACTTAGAACTATGAAGAAGTAAACGTACAGAAACCAGTTCTGCTAAGTCCACACCCCAACTTAAGTTTTCAGCAGCCTCATTAGGAACACCAAAATTTCTATTAGTTAATTAGTTTACCCTGCCTTTAGTCATCAAGCAGCCACATCATGAATGAGGTCGATATAGTCCATTCAAAGTTTTCGAAACAAACAAATCATATGACAAACCATAGCATGCTAGGGCTACAAAAAAAAAAGTAGATAAAAGCAATTCTGTTGATATCATACTAATCATTTCATAGCTTGAATAAATTACCTTGGCAAGCTTGGGCAGCCTTCTACTCTCATTACTGTCCACAATGTCCTTCACTTTGTTCAAGAAATTGTCAAATTCCGGACCCCTCGTGTCTAGGAACAGTAATAAATCTTTTACAAGTTTCTCCAGCGACCCTGTACTATCTCCATTCCTCTGAAATCTATCCTTAATCAATTGCACCACAACAGCTGTCCCTCTCCCCAACAACACCTTCTTCTTCTTTTTCTTCTCACTTTTCTTATCTGCTTGCACTCCATTAATTTCATCATGCTTTCCCTTTTCGATCAATTCACTTCCCTCAAGCGCAACAAATGCGGTAATTGCCTCCCAAGCCACTATTTTCCAGACACGATCACAAAGCACATACAATTCATGCACAAACTTCTCAAAATCTCCGCCAATATATGCATCCACGATAACCTTTTTCTCATTCTCCAAATCATCCATACGTACACAGTCCTTCTCAAACATACCTGTTAAGCTGCTTTTCAGGGCATCGGCAGCAATTGAATCTAAATTCATCTTCGCACGGCACAAAGAGCTCTTACCGATCCTCAGCAGCGCATCAGCCAGCGGCAACAACACATTCACAACGTCATCTGCCGCGCCATCAGCGGCGGACCCAGTTTTCTGTATTCTAACAGACGAATGCAGGTACACTCGCACCTCTGAATGCACCGATTTGACCACCCTTCTCAATGTCGCATGAACTTTGGGAATGCACGAAATTGCCTCGCTCTCCACCTCACCCACCAGCTTAGACCCATTAAGCAAGACTTTCATATCACTAGCAACTCCGATCTCATCCTTCTGGACAAACCCATCACCCGAGTCCATCGGATTGAAGACCGCCACGTTAGCTTTGATGGCCTCGCACGACAATGCAGCAACCGCATCGACCGTCGTGGACAAGGCCGTCGACAAGTGGTCCAAGACCGCACAAATCCCGTACAAACTGGAATGCGCATTCTCCAATATGCATACTTCTTCATCGGTCACGGCGAGATTTCCAAAATCCCGAGGAGGCACGGAACTCAAGGAATCCAAAATGAGATCGACGAGTACCGTGCGCGTGCCGGAAGAACCCGACAGAAGGAGCTTGTTGAGAAGCACCGTGAGAGAAGCGCGGGTTTCCACAACGCTGAAGTAAGGGGGGAAGGATATCTGGAAATTGGCGGCCGGAGAGATCCGATTGGCCGGCGAAGCCGCGAGGCGATCGCTCGCCGACGAGTCTACGCGCAAGCGGGCGGTACCGGCGGCGACCGCGTATGACGAGGACGCGGAGAGGGAGGAGCCCTTGCCTCCCAGAGTCACCACCACGGCGGTGGCGGTGGCGGCGGCGGTGGCGGTGGCGGTTTCGCCGCCGTCGGCCATTGCAAGAGCAGATGTGAAGAAGGCTGGCTTTCTTTCCAGGCGAAGAAGCTCCGATGGCGGCGTCTAGGGTTTTGGGAGGTTTGGGCAGTTTAGCTTGGAAACAACGCATCCGGACTTTTTATCAACCAAAAGAGAATAAAAAATTCTCTGCAAAAAACAAAAATCACTTTTTTTTGTGAAAAGAACGGAAACATGGCACAAACAATCCATGAATTTTAATTTAATGTGTAATGTGGCCATTGAAATTTTATTTTATTCAATATAGTCCCTGAACTTTAGCCCCATGTGTAATTTGTTCAGCCTAAACTTTTAATTTGTTCAACATGAACTTTTGATACATGCTCAATTTAGTTCTTCAACTATATGAAAATATTCAATGTTGTCCTTGAACTTAACTTAATGGAATGATGATATTGAATATTTTCATTTAATCCAAGGACTAACTTAAACATGTACCGAAAATTTAAGGATCACATTATATATTGGGTCAAAGTTCAAGACTATTTTAATCATTTTCCCTAAAAGAATAGATTCGTTTGGGAAAAAAAAAAGTGAAAATTATACTTCAATAACCAAAAAGCTAAATTTTAAGAAAAACAATACGGTGCCAATCTACTCAATACCGTAGGCCGGAGACTATTTCAACTTATAAGCAGTGCAAGTGCTCGTACTTATTAAAGTTTCTTCTCTAATTTTATGCATCCCGCTTCTATCAAAATTTAATATTTTTAAAAATATTGTGACAAGTATCATGAAATTTGACATGCGAGATTAAAAAAACAATGAAAAAACTGAAAATATAATAAAAAATTAAAGTGACTTACATATATACTTTCTTCACCCTTCTAGTTAGCATAATAAATAACAATTCTATTACGTGTTGCATTGGACAAAAAAAGATGCAATTTTACCATTTGTTTTATGAAGTAGACTCGTATTTATGTAAAAATGATTAAAGATATTCATCACAAAAAGTAATATAATTAATACAGTTTTACATACTATTTCTGTTTCGTGATGTATTATTTAATTGAATTCAGCCTAATCTTGATATACTTCGAATTGTATAGCACACAATTAATTCAGTTTTGGCCCTATATTATTGTGTGGATATATATGCTTGCATACTTACAAGTATTTTATTTGATACGAAACACTTGAAAAATTTTAAACTATCGAGACAACGATACATATCCTTCACTCGTAGTTTTCTAAGATTCAAACTAAGTTCTTTAGGTTTTTGCATTTCGGAAGAAAAGTTCGAAGAAATTTTATATAACTCCCAAACCGGCGACTTTCAATTGAGAAGAATTTCTAACATTTTCAGTTAAGTTGAGAATCACGAACTATAAAAATTTGACTAAAAAATTCTAATACAAAAATGTGAAAGATCTATCCTTTTTATCATTTAAAAAAAAATATTTGACTCAGCCAACAGAGAGAATAGTTGTCCAAAACAGCCTAAATTCCACACACAGTTCTTCATCGGTCACGGCCAAATTGTCAAAGTCCGAGCATGCCTTAGGAGGGACAGAACTTAAGGTAATCTGAAATGAGGTCGCCGAGCACCGTTCGCGTACCGGAAGGAATGAGGCAAAGGAGCTTGTTGAAAAGCACAGTAAGAGAAGCGCGCGCAAGCCACGAGTAAATGGATTTAAATGGGTTATGTCATGAACCCAATTCCAACTTATCTAAAAAGGGAGGTGGGGAATCGAATTCTCCACTTTTTTATGGGATTAGAAGTGGGGACGTTTAATTTTAGATGTGGATTTCGACTCCACTCTGTAAAGAGGCGGAGTAAAAATCTGAGAGTGAATTGAGAGTTTCAGTGGGACAGGCAAAAAGAAAAATACACTCGCTAATAATTTTTCTTCTTTTTTTCATCCTTGCTAGACAACTCTCGGACTCTCTTCTCTCTTTGACTTGCGAGCTTTTCCCTTGCCGCCCGTGATCTTGACGGCTCTGTTCGCGGCTCCCTTGCCACCTCCCACAAGATTCATCGTAGACATACTCTCAAGACTCCCCCGTCGAAACACTCCTTGACCTCCGTCGCGTCTGTAAGTCATGGAGCTCGCTCATCCACCCCTTGTCCTTCGCCACCGGGCACCTCCGTCTCCCCCTCTCCCGCTCCAAACCTCACCAGAACCTCCTCCCCCTCCACTTGCCTCGCGTTCCGCACGACTGGCCCATTCCCGCCCACGACGCCGACTTCTGCTTCGTCCTATGCTCCAACCCTATCTCTGGCTCCTTCATCCTCCGCACAAAGTTTGCCATCCCTTTTGACAAGCGCACGTTCTCCTTCGAGGTTGTCGGCTTAGTCGACGGGCTCGTCTGTGTGTCGCAACTCCACAAGAGGTTCGAGCTCTAGACCATCCAGAGCATGAATTTGTGGAACCAGGCCATGGGGAAACTGAGGGACCTGGTGAATAGGGATGCGGGGGAGCGTGTTGTTGATGAGAGCAGGTACCAAATTCACGGGTTTTGGGCGTGACCACGGGGGCCACACTTAGTGGGTTGTGAGGATCACTTGCGGCCGCACGAGCAAGGGGGAGAAGGAGAGTTTGATGGATGCTATCTAAGTCAAGGTTTGTATAGTGGAGAGAAATTCGTAGAGAATGTTAAGATTCATAGGCAATGCCCACCAGGTGTTGGTACAACCCCTATGTCGTAGCTTTTGGTGCAAGTCTTTTAGCACTTTGATTGAATCAGTGACTCTTGTGGTGAAGAAACTAGCTTGACCTAGGGGTGTTGTCTAAATCGGGAATCGTTCGGACCGGACCGGCCGGTTTGGTCCAATTCTCCGGAGTGTAGGTCCAGTTTTCAGTTCCTAAAAGCAGAATTGATATCCGAGCGTTCCGGTCCGGTTCCCGATTCCAAAGGGAACCGGACCAGATCGGATCGATTGCATATATTTTTTTATTTTTGTATCATTATTTGTGGATGATCAGGGTCAAACTTTCATCACCACCTTCACAGCCCATCCAAAACTTGACCCCTGAGCTCCTTTGCTAACTAGATGAACTTGTGCATGGAGTCGCCCATTCTTCAAAAGCAACAATTTAAAGAGAAAAATTGCTAAAAATGGATCTCCGGTTGGGTTGAGTATGGATTGCTAAAATTGTTTGCACATAAATAGGTTAATTTGGGTTAAACCACTTTCGACCTGACCTGTCAGTTTGATGAGTCTAGTACCCAATTTGTCTAATTATGCACGTCGACATAATATCATAACTTCGTCGTTTAGTAACCTACCTACCTCTCTTTTTACTAACTCATTAAAATAAACACATTTAACATTTTACTCGTATTGCGGTAGTTCGAGATAGTAATAAAGTTAGTGCAAAAACCAAACGATCATTTTCGGTTTTGGGAGTCAAAAATGGGGAAAAGAGCCAAAAAAGTCCTAAACCTTTTGCATTGGTGCCAATTTAGTCATAAACCTTTTTTTGGTGCCAATTCAATCCTAAACCTTTTGCATTGGTGCCAATTTAGTCCTAAATCTTTTTTTGGTGCCAATTCAGTCCTAAATCTTTTGTATTGATGTCAATTCAGTCCTAAACCTTTTTGTTTTTGTGCATATTCAGTCCATCCGGCCAAATTTGGCCAGATTTTGCTGACGTGGACAACTTTTTAATAATATTTTAATATTTTTTTGAATTTTTATTTATTTATTTTCTTTTTTTTTTCCCTCCCCTCCCTCCTTCCTCAAGCCGGTCGTCGGCAACGGCGAAGGCGAGCCTCGCCAAATCTAGCGAGGTCGTGCCTCGCCTAGCGACCGGCGAGGTTGGACCTCACTAAAGGCCTTCGTCGCAGCCTCCGGCAAGGTCGAACTCGCCGGCCTTTGGCCGGTCGCCGATCCTGTGACCGGCTGGAGGAAGGAGGGAGGAAAAAGAAAAGAAAAGAAAAGAATAAATAAATAAATAAAAATTCAAAAAATATTAAAAATATTATTAAAATTTATCCACGACAGCGCCAATAAACAACCAGCGTCCACGTCAGCAAAATCCGGCCAAAATTGATTGGAAAGACTGAATTGGCACAAAGACAAAAAGATTTAAGACTGAATTAGCACAAATACAAAATGTTTAAAGACTAAATTGGCACCAATGCAAAATGTTTAGGACTTTTTTGACACTTTTCCTGTCGAAAATGTATTCTCGTGAAAGATAGATGGGTCTTATCATCAACCTACCACAATATTTGGACAAAGTTGTTCTAGATTCATCGTTGATCAAATCTTAAAGGGGTTTAAAATGATACTATTTTGCACATGTCCACTTCTCGAGCTTTGACTTCTTTTTTTGCCAAGGTCCACTTCTTATGTTGGCTTTGGTGAAGAGTATTTCTTACTTTTTTTTATGCTCCTTTCCTTTTGTTTACTCGGTGGATAACCAGTTTTATAAATTTATGATATATTTGAAGGAAATGTCACGATTGAATTGTTTAATATTATTCAATAATGATACATACTTGGAGCACGGAGTCAATTTAGCCAAGCTTAGCTTGCTAACTTTCATACACGCATTATTGAGCATTGTTTTTTTTTTTTGTCGAAACATTATCGAGCATTGTTCACTGTGGAGATTTTTATGGATTGTATTAATACTATCAAAAACCTCAAACTAGTACATTCAATCATGTTTACCCCAAATTAATTTTTGTGTCACAAAGATTTATCACATTTCCCCATACTAATATAACCGTGCCACTTTTACCCTAAATTGTGGTAAATCTATGACTTTTTTTGGGTAAACGTGACACGGGTGCACATGTTTGGGATGGATGTGGTACGGTTGCACGGTTTGAGATTTCTTATGATATAAAAAATTTGTTTGGGGTAAATATGGTACGGGTGCCCTTGTATAGGGTAAAATGACACGATTATACTAGTATAGGAGTTTTTGTGACACAAAATTTAGTTTGGCGTAAAAACAGAATAGATACACCGATTTGAGTTTTTTTTATGGTATTAATCCCGATAGATTATGACATAGTAATGAGGGAATCCTAACAATCAGAATGTGGATGAAAAAGAGAAAAAAAAATGATAATCTTAATTTTCATAGAAATAATCAACACGTATAATTTATCGTGACAATATTGATATCAAGTTATATGAACATTCTAAAATATTTAAAAATAAAATTAATATCACAAAAATCTCAATTTGGTATACTCCGGTCATGTCTACCGAACTAAAATGATTGCATACATGGGTGTGTTTTGTAATCATTCTGTTTCCAGAAACAAGAAAAAAAAAATCTTTTTCCATTTTCGATTCTTGTTCCCAGGATCAAGAATCATGTTCCAAAACTGATTCTGGGAATAAATTTATGTCCGGAAACAAAAAATTTTCCAAATAAATTTTTGTTTTTTTTTTTCTCGAGAATAAAAGAATAGAATCAGGTACTATTTAGCCGGTTATCAAATGGGCCCGTAGAGACCATCGACCCGGTCCAGGCAGGACCGTCTCAGCTCCGAGGTATCAAAGGCTCACATTGGTTTGTCTATGGTGGTCTCTGCGGGCGTGATCCTCTTGCGAGGTTACTTTCGTCTTTTCAATTAACATGGCCGTGTCTAAACCCTAATTTCCACTTTCATTCCCCCCTCTCTCTCTCTCTCTCTTCTCTCTCTCTCGCGGAGCATCTTCTTCTTCTTCCAAAGTTCCAGCTTCCAGAAACTTCCGCTGCCTCCGGCGAGCGGTCGTCGGAGATCGGAGCTCCTTCGTTCGGCCGCCAAGTCCATGCGGTTCGTGCTCTCTCAGATCAAGCCGGAGTCCTCCATTTGAGCCGTCGGTTCGTGCGGTTCGTGCTCTTCTCGTCAGCGTTTGTTCGCTCTCTCTCTGTCTCTCTCTCTCAGGTTTGTTCCTTCTCTCTCTCTCTCTCTCTCTATTGTTTGTTGGGGGTAGTAGCTTCGTCTTCCGCAGAAATGGCGGTAGCTTCGCGGAATCGTCGGGAGTGAGTGAGTGGTGACCTGGTCTTCATTTCTTTGAATAAATAATTGCGAAACATGGAGTTTCGTACAGTGATTGCTGTCGCTGTTGAAATTAGGTTTTGGTCTCTATTAATTGGAATGCGAAGATATACCGGATTGTAGATTGCTGTGTTCTTTGCCGATTGCATAGATTCGGTTACAGGCCTTTTTCTTTCGTGCGTGTGTTTTGGTGATAAGGCGCACGGGTTGTGTGCATGCTTCAACAGCTGTAGTCGACAGTTACGCGATGCGTGTGACTAGATTTCCTTCTAGGATTGCTCGTAGTATTCGGAATTTCAGTTCGGTGTATTTGGTTATATGTTCGTTCAGACTCCCTCTTTGATTTGTGTGTATGAGAAATTGGCTTAGTGATTCGGCGAGTATGCGTCGTGTTCTCGACTTGATGTTGTTTCAGTTTTATGTTGGTCGGGATGCTGGTTATTCTTCATTTAGATTTGAAAAATGCGGGGGTCTCAGTTGTCATTTGAAATAGTTGTTCGAGAGCGTTCATTCGAGATCACTTTATGTAATTTTCCAGAACGGTGGCACGAAATATAGTGAGTTGTCTTTCAGCCTTTATTTGCTCTTGAATTGATGTAAAGCGAAAGTTGAATGAAAATACTTAAATCCTTTTGGGTCAATTTCTTGTTGTTTTTTCTTTAAGATGTTGGTTGATCAGGTGTCTTAGAGCATCCATGAAACTGTGTGGCTTGTTCTGCAATGGGATCATTACTGAGGTACAAGGTTGGTTGATGACCATAAGAAAGTTGCCTTCACTGGGGCTTGCTGGGACGTGAATCATGGCCTCACTTCTTGAGGGGCAATCTGGTGTTGAGTATTGACCAACTCTGCTAAACCTTAGGTCGCAGCAATCTTTTTGCTGTTTGCATTAGAAGGAACAGGCAATAACATGTCATTTGCCATGTCTAGTTACACTCTTTATGAGGATGTATACCGCTATGCTTCTAATATAATTTTCAGGGAAGAAGTTCATGGGTGTATTGACTCTAGCAGTTTATCTCAACCATGCAGGAATTTAGTCTGTATTTTCCATGGGAGACGCAGAGAACGCCCTTCCTCCCTCAAAGAAAAGGGCTGCTGGTAGAGAACTTAATCGCGACAGACCTGAACTTGATGATGAGGAGGATGCATCAGAACAAGAGAGCGGGACCTTCAAGAGGGCAAGTAATGAAGTGCTAGCAACCAGGAGAATTGTCAAAGTACGTCGAAATCAAGGCACATCTGCCCCTTCTTCCAATCCTTTTGCTGGAATTCGCTTGGTTCCACCTGCTGAGGCAAAGTCCGCGGAGGTGAGCCCTGAAGAGGAAGCTGTGAGTGAGAAGGCTACTGCTGGTTTGGATGAAGAGGATAAAGAGACCGAGAAGGACACCAATGGTGATAATAAACAAGCAGAAAGCAAAACTGATGAGGTCGGAACGGAATCTGCTGCAGATAAGGAGGATGTTGCAGATAAGGATGTTGACGATGATGCTAAAAACTCACCCGAACAAAAGCCAGAGGGTGAGGCAGCAACTGGAGGCGAAAAAAGCGAAAGCAATGTCAAGAAAGACGACGAAAATTCAAATTCAACTACTGAAACTACTCCGCTGAGCTCATTCCAACAGCTTTCAAGTACACAAAATGCATTCACTGGTCTTGCTGGTACTGGCTTTTCTACTTCTACCTTCTCATTTGGGTCTATTCCGAAGGAAGGGTCTGCAACAGGCACTGGTTCTGGTTCTCTTTTTGGACTCAAAGGTGACCAACCTTCTTTTGGGTTTGGTCTCTCCAGTAATGGGAACTCCTCAATTTTTGGCGCTTCTGTCGTGTCCAAGGGGGAGAATAGCGGTGTCACGACTCTGCAGGAGGTTGTGGTTGAGACGGGTGAAGAAAATGAGAACGTGGTTTTTTCTGCTGATTCTGTGTTGTTTGAATATGTAGAGGCTAGCTGGAAGGAACGTGGTAAGGGTGAAATCAAAGTGAATGTGTCGACAACTGGTAATGAGAAAGCCAGACTCCTCATGAGAACTAAGGGGAATTACAGGCTTATTTTGAATGCCGGTCTTTACCCAGAAATGAAGCTCACAAATATGGACAAGAAAGGCATCACTTTTGCATGCGTTAACAGCATCACTGAAGAAAAGGGCAATCTTTCTACGTTTGCTCTTAAGTTCAAAGATGTCTCCATCTTAGAAGAGTTCCGTGAGTCTGTCACAAGGCACCAAGGTAATACAGCACAGAAAGATGATGCAGCCGAGGTTTTGAAGACTCCAGAAAATTCCCCTGAAGATTCAAGTGAGTGAAAGGTAGTAGACGTCCGAATAGATGATTCTGTTATGGGTCGATGTCGTTTGTGGAAGTCGTTCGTGAGAATAATCTCATAACTAAGCAAATTTCCGGGTCCTCGTGAAGCAGAGTTTAGGGTATATGATCTTTTTGGTCGAGTTGGCCTTTGCTGACATGTTTTTACCTTTCTCATGTATCGCGTCTTAAACTGTCAACTATCATTTACAAACCTGAGAGTACGGAGCAACGAGAGGATTAGCTATTGTCCCGATGGGATAGTTACTCGACGAGTTAACCGGTCATAGGACATAATGAAGCAGCTTCATTTTTTCTCCTGGGTTGCTAAGCATGAAGCGATTAGCTCATAATAGCAGTCATTAAACTTGGCTCTACAGTCTACACTGCCTTAGACTAGAATTCACTGTGTCCATATTTTCTCTGATTTGTCAATTATATCCTCTGTTCCCTTAGGAAGAGCGACTGAATGCTTGAACTGAGTAGTAGTGGTCTAGTCCTTCCATGTTCCAACGGGAGAGCTATAGCCTTCTCTGGGTGGGTCTATAATAGGATAAAGACATCTGTTTTGAAATTTGCATGGCATTGATAATTTGTCTGTGGTTGGTCAAATTCAAATCAAGAATGTCGTCTCGGTAAGTACAGGAGTCTACCAGTGATGAGGCTTCTTTTCTAATATATAGGATATTAAAAAGGTTAATTCGTTAGGATTGGCGCACCAAATTTTGGGTTTTCCGCATCCTTGCACTCGCCCACAATCTCTTTTCACTATTTTTTTTTTAGCATTTCTTGCTAGTAGGACAGCACCCTTACTATGCACCCACAATCTCTTTTGCGGTGCAAGGATGACCACGTATTGCAATTTGGGGAAGATGGGACAACCGGAACGAGGATTAGAGATAGTTTGATGCATTTAAGGAAATAAATCCAAGGATATTATTCAAGCCAAAAAAAAAAGGCCATGGGATATTCAACTGCAAATTTGAGGCGATGTATATCATTCCAAAATCTAGTGTAATCTGTCTATAATACTTTATTTGTAATATATAGATGAATATAATACGGTTGCAAAATTTAGTGTGTTGTTTTTGCTGTTTCAGAAATTTTTCTAAAGAAAAGCTAGTTCTTTTTCAAAATTTAAATAAATAAAAGGATGACAATATCACGTATAAATTATTTAAATTAAGTGCTAAATATATTTTGCGTTATAGTTTCAAAATCGTAGAAAACAAAAAAATAGAGAGAAAAAAGCTAGGGTGCGGTTTTTTGTTGCACTAGATGAAAAATGGATCGGCCAAAGTCAATTCGATTGTTTAACAATGGCGAGAATTCCTCTAGCGGAGTTTGAGACAAATAGCAAAAAGCCCTTTCGAACCAACTTAACCAAGCACGTAGAATGAGAAGCCCCGTAAGCGTACAATAATATCTTCATTAATGTAAAAGACACATCATCCGTGTGTTTGTGATATGACTCGAGTATACTTACATCGAACATTGGATGGAACTTTAACTTTGGGGGAAGCTCAAGCTTGTAGGCAACCTTCTCGACTCGTTGAGAACTCGAAAAGGCACCGAAGAAGGCCTAATTCTAATGTTATTTTCTTTTTGGAAATCTAATTCTTATTTTTAATGGCTTTAACAATCTCGTTTTAGAGATACTATTTTGATACCTGTGATTATCATATTGTAGTGTTCAATTTTCTTCAAATTAAAATTTTCCCTTGCTTTTTCTTTTTAATATTCAAGGACCTCACCTAATGAGATTTGAGCAAATCCCAAGTGAGATTTTCTGGGATATTTTCTGTTCACCAAGTAAAAGAGTTTCCCGATTTCATTGAAAATATTAGGTAGCGAATGATAACCATTCTGTTCCGGAATGAGTTCCTGAACCAGAAATAGATTTTTCTATTTCTGGTTCCTGGATGAGTTTCTGAGAAAAAAAACCCGTTTGATAATGACCAAAAATTTCTATTTCTAGAACAGAAACCCGTTTGATAACAACACAAAATTTCTATTTCCTGAAATAAAAACCCGTTTGATAAACAACAGAAAATTCTATTTCCAGGAACAAAAATCCATTTTTTTAGAAATGGAATAAAAATAATAAAAAATCCGAAAAATTCATAAAAATCTTTAAAAAAATTCAGAAAATCCCAAAAAATTGAAAAATTCCAGAAAAAATCATCAAAATGTCGAGAAAATAAAAAAAATTTAGATTTCGGGAAAATAGGAAATTTGTTGAATTTTTTTTAAAAAAAATCAAGAAATCAAAAATTTCAAAACTTCACAGAATTGCCTAGAATACCTGTGGCCACCCACTTTTAGTGAAATTTAAATTTTTTTAGGTGCCCAAAAAAAATCAAAAAATCAAAAATTTCAAAACTTCACAGAATAGTTTAGAATACATGTGGCCACCCACTTTGAGTGAAATTTAAATTTTTTAAGTTGCCCAAAAAAATTCAAAAACTCAAAAATTTCAAAACTTTATAGAATGGCTTAGAATACATGTGGCCACCCACTTTGAGTGAAATTTTAATTTTTGGAGGTGAAAAAAAAGCAAAAAATCAAAAATTTCAAAACTTCACAGAATGACTTAGAATACATGTGGCCATCCACTTTAAGTGAAATTTAAATTTTTTTAGGTGAAAAAAAACATAAAAAATCAAAAATTTCAAAACTTCACAGAATGACTTACAATACCTCTAGCCACCCACTTTGAGTAAAATTTAATTTTTTTAGATGCCCAAATGGTATTTTTTATTTTTTATTTATTTTTTTTGGTTCCTAAAAAAAATTAAATTTCACTCAAAGTGGATGGCCACATGTATTCTAAGCCACTCTGTGAAGTTTTGAAAATTTTTCTTTTTTGCTTATTTTTTTTTTTTTTTTTTCGACACCTAAAAAAAATTAAATTTGACTCAAAGTGGGTGGCCACAGGTATTCTAAGCAATTATGTGAAGTTTTTTATTTTTTATATTTTTCGGCACCTAAAAAAATTTAAATTTCGCTTAAAGTGGATGGCCACAGGTATTCTAAGCCATTTTGTGAAGTTTTGAAATTTTTTCTTTTTTTTTTTTTTTTTTTATTTTTTTCGGCACCTAAAAAAATAAAATTTCGCTCAAAGTGGGTGGCCACAGGTATTTTAAGCCATTCTGTAAAGTTTTGAAATTTTTACTTTTTTGCTTATTTTTATTTTTTTTGGCATATAAAAAAATTTAAATTTCACTCAAAGTGGGTGGCCACAGGTATTTTAAGCTATTTTGTGAAGTTTTGAAATTTTTTATTTTTTTTATTTTTTTCGGCACCTAAAAAAATTTAAATTTCACTCAAAGTGGATGGCCACAAGTATTCTAAGCCATTCTGTGAAGTTTTGAAATTTTTGATTTTTTGCTTTTTTTTATTTTTTCGGCACCTAAAAAAATAAAATTTCGCTCAAATTGGGTGGCCACAGGTATTCTAAGATATTTTGTGAAGTTTTTAAATTTTAGAATTTTTTATTTTTTTTGGCAACTAAAAAAATTAAATTTTGCTCAAAGTGGGTGGCCATAGGTTTTCTAAGCCATTTTGTGAAATTTTGAAATTTTTTATTTTTATTTATTTTTTTCGGTACCTAAAAAAATTTAAATTTCACTGAAAGTGGGTAGCCACAGATTCTAAACCATTTTGTTAAGTTTTGAAATTTTTGATTTTTTGCTTTTTTTTCTCACCTCAAAGATCGTGACTTCCATATGAATATGTGTGTTGAAGAAAATGAATTCCTTAGAAATGGTTCTAACTTTTGTTCTAGAAATGAAAAACCAACTTTTTTTTGGTTCTCATTTCTGGTTTCAGAATCAGTTTTGGAAGCAAACTTGTCCCGGAAATAGAAAAATGAAATTGCGTTACCAAACGGGTTTTTGGTCCAAAACTGATTCTGGGAACAAAAAATCAGTTCTGGACAGAACCAGAATGGTTTTCATGCAGTTAGCGGCGGATATGGCACTTGCGGTTAGTTAATCAATTCTCTCCTTTTTCTTTAGTTAATGCCAAAAAAAAACTCAAAACCGGTACACATGTGACAAATTTACCCAAAACTAATTTTTTGACCACCAAAACTCCCAAAATGGTACACCCGTGACAAATTTACTCTCCTTTAAATTTTACTGTCAAATTGCTGAGTTGGATGACACGTGGTAGTTGATGAGTGTAATAATTTGGGGTTTTGTCCCTCCATTTGTTATATATTTACCAATTTGTGGTTGTTCGTGGTATTAATCCAATTTAACAGAGGCTAAATTTGTCACAAATGTACTACTTTGACGTTTTTTGTGGTCAAAAAATTAGTTTGGGGTAAATTTGTCACGGGTGTACCGGTTTAGGGTTTTTGGTGATCAAAAATTAGTTCGAGATAAATTTGTCCTACGTGTATGAGTTTAGGATTTTTCGTGGTATTAACCCTTTTATGGGGAGGGGGACTACGGATTGGCGACACGCAACCCTCCATCTAGAGGTGTCAAAATGGGTCTTAAATTCATATATGACCCATTTAAAAATAAATGGGTCATATCACTTTAATTTTAAAGAGCCAACCTTAAATGGGTTTTAAATTTTTAAAGTTTAAAAATAAATGGGTTGAGTTTGGAACCCATGTCCAACCCACCTACTAGACCCATCCACATACTCTCTCCCTCTTTACAAAAATGTTTAAAAAAAATCGAAATTTAATTATTTTTATTTTTTCTCTTTTTCTTTTATTTTTTATTTTCTCTTCTTTCTTTTTCTTTTTTTTTTTATTCCGGCCGGTGGTCGGCCCACGTACAACCGGCCACCGGGACGAGACGACCTCGCCGGAGGCCGGCGAAGCTCGAGCTCGCCGGCCTCGGGCGAGGCTCGAGCCTCGCCGATCGGCGAGCCTCGAGCTCGCCCGGACTCGGCGACCTCGAGGCTCGCCCCGATCGCGAGCCGAGGCGGCGAAGCTCGAGCTCGCCGGATCGGCGAGGCTGGAGCCTCGCCCAGATCGGCGAGAACGAGCTTCGCCGGCCTCCGGCGAGCTCGTCCTCGCCTGTGGTCGGTCGCCGGCCACGGCGACCGGCGATCGGCCAAAAATAAAGGAAAAATAAAAAATAATTAAAAATTCGATTTAAAAAATAAAAAAAATATTAATTTTTTTTTATTTTCTTGGATAATGACTTTATGGAAAATATTTTCTAGAAATGTCGCATTTTTCGCAAAACAAACAGAACCTCAATTTTAAAAAAAATTATAAAAAATTTTCACTAGCTTTGTATTGCATAAAATGTTTTAGCAGTATAATTTAAAAAAAAAATCATAAGAAATAAGTATTCCTAGATTAGGTTAAATATAAAAGTGTTTTAGCAATATGGATCGGGTCGGGTATGGGTTGGGTATGGGTCGGGTCGGGTATGGGTCGAGATATTTACACTATGAATAAATGGGTCATAAACGGGTTAATTGATCAATTTGGGTCGGACCATTTATGACCCGACCCAAACCCGACCCGACCCACCCGTTTAACAGGTCTACCTCCATCAATCTATCTAGGTGTCTACATGGTTACATTTATATTTATATCAGTCGAACGGTTGAGTGGGTTTATTACTGCACTAAAAGTTATTTTCCTTCATAATATATTTTGCCTGCGTTCGGCGAGCCAATCACTAATTTGAGGATTAGAAACGAATTCAGTGGAAAGAATACATCATTCCAAGTACAAATTCCAAAGATGGGGCGGGCTTAATTTGCAAGAGAACGATGACAATTGAAGTAACGAAAGGAATGTGAAATCCACTTTAATTTTACATCTGCATGTTCTCTGGGGGAAGGCATGTGAATCTACTCCTGATTTGCAGTCCAAACTAGCATTCTTCATAGTATAGAACTCTCCGTATATACACTTAAACACGCTGCTGCTTGCAAAACTGTATCATGCAGTATTACTCGCCCACTCGCGAGGTGCGTGACATTTCATCCGGTCCTTCCAGGACAAAGACATGTGCGTGATGCTTCCTCCAGCTTGTTGTGGATCGACGTTTTAATTTGAGCCGGAAGCGGCTGTCAGGAACGAAAGTTCTGAAGATTGATGAGCATCACGGTTATGTCATCCATGCTGCCTCTGGAACAAGCTAGTTCCACAAGCTTCTTGCAAGATTCTTGCAAGTTGATCTGTTTGGACACCAGATCAACTGCTTCTTGATCACTGACCTGTAACAAAACGAGGTGGTTGAGCCGAGATTCAAGGTTCTCGTGTTGTAGTCATGACCTTTAAGTTTGATTGCATCAGATTCGGATAATTTCTTTTTAACCATATGAACCTGAATGTCTTTGATAACAATATAACTGCGACCCTTAGCAGTATGACCTTACCTTGTCCCACAATCCATCTGAGGCCATGACGATGAACTCACAGTCCGGTGTTATCTGACACATCTTAATCTCTGGCTCGGAAATTATCCATTCTTTCAAATGCGAGTCCCCGATTGCTCTAGAAATTGCTAGAGAGCCATGTACTCTCCACACCCCGTTACGGCTATGTACGAAGCCGCCCTGCAAAGTTATCGATTCTTCATTAGATGTCCGACCCTCATTCGTGGGGTAATGAAGAATGCTATTGAGCTCTGAAATCGGAAAGACGACTTACCGAGTTCTCGATCCGGAGGCGCTCGTCTTCTTGGCTAACCTGGTGGTCTCTGGTCAATGTGTCAGCTACTCCTTTCCTACATAGAACTACCCTACAATCACCTACATTTGCTACATGTAAATGCCCATCCTTCAGCAGCACACTAGCTGCACAAGCTCCACTAGCTACACCCTGCATTTATGTGAATCCTTTTGGCTGTTATCAAACTGTATCAGCTCTGGCAATTCCTTAGTAAAACTAAACAGAAAGCGTTAGAATGATGATGTTCATGAAGGAAAACTCTCTTGGAGATTGTACAAGTAAGATCTAGTTTGGCCAAGTAACCATCACCTATACTATGCCGACTCAAGGGGAACAGTCGACTCGACAATCCATACTCACTCAAAACTCGGTTGATCTTCATTTATCTAGCTATCGGTCTTCACTGACCAAACTATTCAGTGTACTCGAGCTCGACTCGACTCAGTTTTGCAAGGAATAGCCAAAGTCTGTGTGGAGTATGGTTATTAGGCGGAGTCAAATTCAAGTAGCTTAAAAAAAGCTCGACTCGACTCGTTTCAAAGTCCAAGAAATCATCTAAGATGACTTTTGGGTTATTGAGCAAAGTCATAATATGGCGCAATTTCTGGGTGAATTGTCCTTTGAATATTTCTGCTTACAGATTTTAAAAGCAGAAAGCACGTTATTAAAAACAGTAGGACGAGGTCTCAGGGTCAAAATTCCAAAACGAGGAGCAGCGACCAAGCCCAATCATCTAGACTGCAAGGTTTCCTAAGCAAATTTCAGGTCTTCAATCAACTGATTCAACTCTCAATTGTTTAGTCCCCATTTGAAATTCCCCAAAGCACATGCATGTAACATGAGACTCATCACTATTTCTTATATTATTTCCTGAAAGCAGACGGCTTACCTGACTGAGAAACTCCTTGTCTGTGACCAAGTAGCCCTTGCGAATGGCCCCTTCTAGAGAACCTCTTTCCTTCCCCCGGGTTTCGACTTCTCTAAGGATGTTGTTTCCTAGATTTTCAGCGACGTAATCAGCCGCGGCTCGGCCTCCGTGTCCGTCTATCACAGCGAAGAACGCCTGCGGATGAGAGGAATTATTATACCTCCAAGAGTGTCGGAAAGTATAGCACTTCCTATGCATTCGCAAATAATAAGCTCTGAAGTTGAATAATTAGGACAACCGGATCAAGTCCTGATTCACACATTAAAATTGATCTCACGGAAAACAGCAAGGTCAAGGTAGGAACGAGCAGACTAATCGTCACTCGCTCCATGCCGAATGCAATCGTCCAAAATACTAATCAGCACCTAAGAATGACCAATCCATTCGCCTGTGTGGCGATAGACTCTGCGTCATCCTCGACAAGAATTCTTCTGTTTAAATCATTCTGTACCAGTGAGGAATCCAAAACTATCCATGATCCATGGTTTCTTACCACCGACTGCGAAAAGGTCGACACTAATAGTGTAGCGTTATGGCTCGTGATGAACGAGAATCGGAAGACTGGTTACGAAATAATGATGGTCACCAATATAGCAAAGCTAGTAGAATTACTATGAAAGAATGAATCATCATCAATTCGCAAAAACATGAAAAATAAAAAGAACAAAATGCCTGCGAATAAATTTAAACCCTACCTGCTTGGGATCTCCGGCGACATCGACCGTGACTCCATACCTGTCCTCCATTACATCTCTCCTCCCTTTCTTGCTAGCCAAACAGTAATCTCTTCCCTCAATCTCAAACTCCTTGTTCTCTCTCTTCTTCGACCTTTCGCAGCCCAATTCGAGAACCGGGAAATTCTCCGGCAAAATAAGCCTCGCCGGCCTCTTCCTGAGCTTGTTAGCACTCCCCTTTTCGCCGGCAATCACTTTCTCCACCGATAAAGCCGGGACATCTGACATGGCCTCGGAATCAATCTCGTGTGCACCTACATCGTGCATACCTTTTTCACGCACTTCTCTACATTGCTCGTGCCTCAACAAATCATCATATTTCGCTGGATGCGATTCGTCCTGTGAATCTTCCGGTTCGGCGTGGGAGATTTCGCCTTCTCTAGGGGCGCTCCCGTTCCTGAGGATCGATATCTCTCCCTTTGTGGAAGCTAGGCTTTCTAGGGTTTCAGGCCGGAAGCTCGGAGAAGCCGGGGACGGCCCTCTCCATGCCGCGAGGACCTTGGCAAGCGACGGCAGGGGACCGGGAGACGCCGGGAACGCCGAAGACTCGTGCCCAACAGCGACAGACATCATCAGGCTCCGGAGCCTTCGGATCAAGAACAGCACCAGAGAGACAACAGAGAAGCCCCACAGAAGCTCATGCAAATCAATCATCATCACTGGATGAAAAAGGACGAGGATTGGGAAGCTGGTGACGCTGCATGGGAATGAAGAGAGAGACCCCTCTGGAAACCATGCACGATGTGTGATTCGTGAAAGGCCTGTAAGGGATGATTGTGTCTGCAAAGCAAGGAAGAATATGGAAGTCTTGATCCAATTTGGAAAGGGTGGACGGTGAAAGGGACGAGGATTGGGTCAACGGAATTAGCAACGACGGGAGTTTTGGTGGATTACGAGGACGTAGTGTGTTTGCCCACGAAGGCAGAGACAAAGAGAGAGATGAACAAAGGCCAAGGTTTTCTTGAAAACTTCAAAGCCAAGGAAGTGGTCGTTGCCCCTAGGAATCGGCAAAAGAGTGCGTGTTTGTATTGTTATATGAGGGTTTCGGCGTCTAACTTCGCTTTGGGGGTTTCCCTTTTGCTGATTCAAAGCTTGCCCGATAAGGAAACAAGATCGTTTGACTGGGTAAAGCCACCTAAATCTTTGACCTCTTTCTGGCGTTTTTGCTCGCCTGTTATTTTGGGGTTGAGCGTTTTGAGTTCTTTTCCCACCGTGTCGGCTATCATAAAGCTTACCTTGTATTATAAGTAATGCTAGGAGGAAATGCTGATTGCGTATTCACGGGGGGAGAGGTGCTAATTCTAAACCTGTTGCATTTGTACCGAGTCAATCCTAAACATTTCAATTGGATCGATTTAGCCCTAACCATTTTTATATTGGTACCAATTTAGTGCATCCGGCGAATTTAGGCTGGAAATTACTGATGTGGACGCCGGCCGTCCTGACGTGGCACGGCCGACGAACGACCGGCGCTAACGTGGATCTGGCAAGCGTGACCCTCACCTGTGGCGGGGGTCGCTGACCGGCCACAAGCCAAAGGAAAGAGAAGGAAAAAAAAAGAAAAAAAAGGGGAAAAAATAATTCAAAAATGATTAAAGTATTATTAAAAATGTCAACGTCACCGCCGGTCATATGCCGAATGTGTCAGGTAGGACGGCTGACACCAAGTTAGCAATTTCCGCTCTAAATTGGCTAGATGGAATGAATTAATACAGATTTAAAATTTATTTATAACTAAATTGATCAAATTATGAAAATATTTATGATCGAATTGATACTAATGAAATAGATTGAAAACTTTTGGTACATTTCTCCGTATTCATGTGCCGGATAGCATGTTATAAATATGTACAAATCGAAGGACAACATCAATATTGACTTTTGTTAGACAGTTGCTGGTTGGAAGGAGGGTTTAACAATTAACACCACTTGTCATGATGGCATGCGATCGAAGAGCTTGACGATGGAGACAATCTGATGTTTGAATTTTTTTGGTTTCCATCAACATCAATCAACTCGCAAAGTCTCAATAGTTCTTCTAAACATAGAATTGGTGTGCATAAAAACAAAAAAACAAAATCAAATATCTCTCGCTTGATTAACGAGTCTCATATTCGCACCGCATTAAAGAAATAAAAAGATCATGTAAAAATTTCGAATTGATGCGCATTCAGGATCATTTAAGTGATTTATTATTATTATTTTTGGACAAATTAAGTGATTTATTTATCTTTTTGCTATTTTCACATTAGTTAATCCGTATTTGCGCAACATTAAAGAAAAAGAGAAATAAAAGTCATGCATCGCATGCTTGGTCACTTATAAGGCATTTTCGCAGGTGAAGAATCTCTAACATTGCATATAGATTAATTCCGCATATTTTATCATATAGAATAGATTTTTCTAGTACAAAAAAATGCGCATTGGCTGCTTTCGATGTGCGCTTTCGTCACGCATCGAACATTTTCTAGGGCACGTTTCAGAATGGCCGGACAGACTAGATCGGATCGGCCATAATCATGTCGAGAGTAAGATCGAAAGACTCGCATCCTGTCCATGTCGAAGTCCATGTTGGTAGGCCTGTCGAAATGGATTATAGACCCATGTCTAAAATTACCATATGAGTTAGTTATATTCGATAAATGTGTTATAGATGGCTTTAGAACGGTAAAACCCAAAATAATACGAGCGTTAAATGGATTCATAACTTTTCTTAAACTCAACTCACTTCTCTGACTCTCTCTTCGCTCTCTCTCTCGCCCCATTTGATCTCGGGCTCGGTCACTCCGTCCTCTCACCTCAATTTTGCGTATGAGTTATAGCAGATTGGGTTAGATACAGACTTATCTTAGCAATAGGGTGCGATCGGATATGAGTTACTAGATTTGTATCGCGTAGAAATAAGTCAAACAATGATTAAATGAGCCGATTTGGGTCGGATCATTCTTCACCCGACGGACCGACGCACACCGTTTAACAGGGGCGTAATGATCCAAAGGGCCGTACACTTTTTTGGGGAACCCAACGGCATTCCCTTTCGTTTTCGATAAAAAAAAAGGTACCAAAGGTCGCCGTGTGATGTAATCCCGTCACTAAGCACGCTCTCGATGGATGGGTGGACGGAGGGCCACGTGATGATGAATCTAACGTCCGGAGACGTAGGGCAGGCGCAAGGAGATGGGCGAACGCTAGTTCCGGGCGCAGGCGATCAATCCCTAACGGTGGGCGGGGGGGAGGAGAGACAAGACGTATGTCTCAGCGCAAATCAAAGTGAAAAGCGGGGTGCGCGCGCCGCTCCCAAGAAAGAGAGAGCATAGCGAAAGCCGCCAAGAAGGCCAAGACCGGAAGCACGCGCAGGAGCAGCAGCCCACCCTGCAACCGCAAAACTCTCTCTTTTCTCTCTCTCTAAACTCTCTCTCCTCTCTCTCGCTCTTGCTCTTCTGGTGGAGCTCGGCAGTGGCCATGGCGTCGCTCTCCGCTTCGATCTCCTGCCGCCCCTCCTCGCTGCCCCCGCCCCCGCGCGCATTGCTCGGCGGAGCAGAGAAGCCGAGGGAGGGGAGGAGGAGGACCGCCGCCGCCGCCGCCGCCGCCGCCGCCGCCCGCTGCCCTCCGTCCCTTCTCTCTCCCCTCCCGCGCTCCCTCGCTCGCAGGTGCGTGTCCTCTCGCTCGCGCTTCCTTGGCCTCTCCCCGGGGAAGTTCGCCGGAAGGGGCGAAAATGAAACGAGAGAGTTTAGATTTGTTTTTCATTTTGATTCCGCGAAAGAGCTCCGGCACAGGTTACCCAATGGGACGGATTTTGCGTGGGTGGATGAAAGTTTCTGACTTTCTCGCTAGTCTTCAGCGGAGACAGGGAATAATGCGCGTGAAATGCGTGGCTATAGCCCACCGAGCATTGTAATTAGCTGCTTCGCGAGCAACCGGCGTACCTTGTGGCGACGAATGTTTGCTGCGGTCTTTTGGCATTTTTACATTGCCGTTGCTAAGAATAATTCTTGTACAGAACTTGTTCGATTAGTTTGTAATTCCTTCATTAGAGATTCCTTTTCACCCTTGAAGAAGCAGTTGCTTAGTTGGACGCATGACGCTCGTCTACGGTTCATGAACAGCAATTTACTCATACAGAAAATCGTGGAGTTTGAGAGGTCCCAGAAACTCGGGCTGCATCGCGATAGATTCTCGTAGGATTGGAACGCTAATCAACGCCTTTCTTTTTTTTCCTTATGATTCTAGTTATTTGGGACATATTCAATTTTCTTCTGTCTTAGGTATCCTAATTTTGCTAGCTTGCTCGTGAGTTTATGGCAGTACGTTTGTTCTAATAAGGAGCTGCTGTAAATACCTTCGTAGTTGTCCAAAAATCACCGAGAATCTGTTTCTACATGTTGCCATTGCAGAGTAGGTGTTGTACCGTCTCAGAGAAGAAGAGATCTATCAAAGACCATTCATGCATCTGTCACAGGTTCGATCCCTCAGCATTTGTCTCTTGTTTGTGTAATTATCAGCATATGTAGTAATATTTATCTTTCAATGTAATTGTCAACATATAGAACACAATGGTACTCTAAGCTAACTTTTTTCCCATCAACTCCTCGTGTCGAATTGCTGCCGGATGTTTCAGTGGATATAGCTACGGAAGAGGTTCAGCTCCCTAAAGGTGAAACATGGTCAGTTCATAAATTTGGTGGCACTTGCGTAGGAAACTCTCAGAGGATAAAGAATGTGGCCAATATAATTATGAAGGATGATTCAGAACGGAAATTAGCGGTTGTCTCTGCAATGTCAAAGGTGACTGATATGATGTATGACCTTATCGATAAGGCACAGTCACGAGATGATACCTATGTGTTTGCACTAGACAATGTTTTAGAAAAACATAGATCAACGGCACTTGATCTACTCGAGGGGAACGATCTTGCAAATTTTCTATCACAGTTGGATGACGACATCAATAACCTAAAAGCCATGCTTCGAGCAATATATATTGGTATCAAGCTCTCTCTCTCTCTCTCTCTCTCTCTGTGTACATTATTTGTGGCCATCTGTAGATGTTACCTTAGACTTTAGCATTTTGCACCTTACATTTGCATTTGTATGATGTTGGCCGCTAAAAGGGTATGCTCATCTCAAGGAGTAGAGAATATCCTTGCCACTTGTACATTTCAAAGACCCTTTGGACTGTTAATGATCAGAGCCTAAAGAGTGAATATACCTAACTTTCATAGCTTACGGTAGAAACTTGTTTTATTTTATTTATGTACCCAGATTTTTCATTTAATTCATTCAATTAATGTTTATTGCCACCTTTAGTTTTGTTGTGGCAACCAATGCCGCCATTTCTTTGGGTGATATCATGTTGCACATAGTAGGTTCTTAGATTGACTGTCTATGCTGTCCTGCAGCTGGCCACGCAACAGAATCTTTCACAGATTTTGTCGTAGGGCATGGGGAGCTCTGGTCAGCTCAACTGCTTTCCTCTGTCATTAAGAAGGTTTTATCATATCCACTTCCTTCTTCGGCAAATTTTTATTATTATTGATATCTGATGTGCTGATATTAGCATCTGCTCTATACTGTTTTTCTGCTCACTGCAGAATGGGATCGATTGCCAATGGATGGATACAAGGGAAGTCCTAATTGTATGTCCTACTAATTCTAATCAAGTGGATCCTGACTTTCCTGAGTCTGAACAAAGACTAGAGAAATGGTACTCCCAGAATCCATCTAAGACCATAATTGCCACTGGTTTTATTGCTAGCACTCCGTATAATATTCCTACAACATTGAAAAGAGACGGGAGTGACTTCTCAGCTGCAATTATGGGTGCTCTACTTAGAGCGCGACAGGTCACTATATGGACAGATGTAGATGGTGTTTATAGCGCTGATCCAAGAAAAGGTTTGTGATGGTTCTGTTCTCTTGGTTATGAGCCAAGATAGCCAATTAAAAGTTTCTGATTCTTGGAGATAGTATTTGGTATTGGTACCAATGATAACTGGTGCTAACCGGGAGATATCTGTT